GGGAAATTATTTACATTTATTTACATAGACTGCATACATAAATAAAGGGTCTCCTTTAATGTTCCAAATAACTTTTGTGAAAAATGAAATGTCTGGCTAACTACAATAAACATCACGTGTCACATTTCCTCAAAGTGATTGTTTTAGATGAGTGTTGAGTGTGATTATTTACAGTATTGAAATGACTTCTTCATAAAGTAGGGGATTACTTTTAATTTTTAGGTTTAATTACAGTTACTTTAAATATACTTGCCTAAAATATGGTGCATGAATCAACAGCTCTATATAAATCAGAGTAAATATATATTTGTTATACAAATATATTGGCAGAATAACTAAAGAAGGTTAAATTTGTCAGATGATCACTAATTTTTAAGAAACAATGAATTGAGAAAGAAATTAAATGTTAATATGAAATATTCAGTATAAAATATGATTTCATTAGTACTTTAAAAAACTTTAAGTTTTGATACATATGTTTAACATTCCTTGTTACTTTTTTAAGCTAAAAGTCCCCCTGAAATTAAAAATGAATAAATAAATAAATACAATACAATACAAGATATATGGACAGCATTCAATATAAGATATATGAGCATTTTTAGCCCCCTATGTATGTTTATAGTCAGATATTTTACTTTAAAGGCAATGAAAATAATCTGTCCTTTGCCAAAAAATTAACTTTACTAAATATGCACACAGAAGTATAAAAAATGGCTGATTTGAGAAGAACTCTAGGGGGTTTTGCATTTAAAGGCCAGGAAAAGAACCTATTCTATGCCATAAAAGTTATATTACTGAACATACACACAGGAGCATGAAAAAATGCTAATTTTAGAGGAAAATTTCAGACGGCATTTTGTTTTTGAAGTTTTTGCATCTAAACTCTTCATGATGTTTATTAGAGCAAGGAAATTTTCACAGTATGTCTGATAATATTTTTCTTAAGAGAAAGTCTTATTAGTTTTATTTTGGCTAGAATAAAAACAGATTTTAAAAGCCATTTTAAGGTCATAATTATTAGCCTCTTTAAGCTATATATTTTTTTCTATAGTCCACAGAATAAAAAAAAAAGTTATACAATAAATTACCTAATTACCCTATCCTGCCTGGTTAACCTAATTAACCTATTTAAGTCTTTAAATGTCACTTTAAGCTGTATAGAAGTGTCTTGGAAAATATAAAATCTTTTCTCCATTAAGCAGAAATTGGGTGAAAAATAAACAGGGGGCTAAAAATTCTAACTTCAACTGTTAACGTTTAATTTGTATTCTGGATGATTCTGGATGTATTCTGTACAAATTTTAAATAGTATTGAATCAAGTAATAAAACTGCTTACTGAGTAATCAAGTGACATTTTAGACAAAGTAATCAGAAAACTAAACACAATTGATTGTTCAATCAATGATTATTTACTTTTTTGAAACACCTTACAATCTTACCCAGTAACCCAACACTGTTTGAGAAGGGTTTGGGAGTTGATAAGATAACTAATTAAATCACTCACTTACTTACTCACTCACTCACTTTTCTTCAGCTTAGTCCCATAAGTGTAAATTAAATATAAATCTAAATTATATATATATATATATATATATATATATATATATATATATATATATATATATATATATATATATATATATAAATCTTTTAAAAAAATATTACATTTATTATCGTTTACCTCAATGTCATGCGGATATTTAAAAAATATGCAAACCTGAAGCTATGTTACTGCCATATTAGTTTACATATACAAAAAACACATTACAAGTATTCACTTACTAACCAGCACTGTTGCTGAGTTATGCTCATGTATTTATGCTAACTGCCATAGCAATATGTCAAAGCTTTTATACATAGTTACACCAGAAAAAACAAATACTATTCTATCAACATTGACAGCATAAGCTGACAGATTTTCTGTCTAAAGATGGTGACAGTTCAGAATCAATGGCACTGACAAGCCTACTCTAGGTGTGTCTTATGCAAACAACAAACGTACTGTAGGCACAGCAGGACAATCAAACTACCTCCAATTATTCCTGCCTTTTCAACGAGTTTATTTTATTAGAGGTATGAATAAAGTCTATAAATTTCCCTCAATGACTATGTGACGCCCTTAACGTAAAGTGGGTATTTTTCTAAAGATGAACTGCCTATAAAGTTTTATTCGCAGGACATTTAAGGTTGACAGACTGAATGACGGACAAAGTCCCCTTTCTTATCTGAGATATGAATGAAAAATAATATAATTTCTATCTCGCAATGTCAGTTCCATATGGCCGCATAGGACGCCATCATTTAATGTGAGATATATTTACGCACAAAAAATAACTTGTTCAGTAAAGTATGATTGTAAAATCTGACACACGACAGATTTATAAACATAAACAGTCTGACGCATGTCTGACAATGCAGAAATTGTTGACGTTAACGTGGCCGTTACTGTAAACACTCATTACGACGTGACTAAAAAAATAAAGGCAAAAACTTACCTTTAACGCTTTGCGACCATGTATTATTAGTGTACAATGAAGTAAACCGGTGAGCTGTTGACGACTGAAACTCGACAACTTCCTCACCTGTCATAGCTACTGTTACCGTAATGACTCGAATACATGCTTGGAGGCGTGGCGTCTACAGCAAGAAAACTCCTTTCTCAAGTCACGTCGGAAATTTTAGTTTTGTAGTATTTGTACGTTCACTAAAGGAGCGACTCTCCATTGAAGCAGTACGTACGGTAGCAGTGATGCTGACATTTTTGTACTAATGTGTGATAAACAACGAAACATTTTATACTGTGTTTTGTATTGTAGGCTGTTTAACGAGTTTATAATAGAAAATAATAATCTCTAGTGAACGTCTATGAATTTAAAAAACATTGTTGCTTCGTGTACAGTAGTAAGCATTTGAAGTGAATCAAGCATTCATTAAAGTTGTCCAAAACTGTTGAAAAACACCCATCACTCTTTGTTCCAGCAGATGGCGCTGTTGAAGCTGTTCCTCGGGGCTCTTCTGCTCCTTCAGCTTGTTCTGCAGCTCCTAGCCGGAGCTGCTGACCCTCAAACCTTGAACTGTCCTGCTTATGCTGGAGTTCCAGGCACTCCTGGACACAATGGTCTGCCTGGCAGAGACGGCAGAGACGGAAGAGATGGAGTCACTGGACCCAAAGGAGAGAAGGGAGAGCCAGGTTTGTGTCTGGGATTGATGAGCGAGAGAGCATGAGCTTGTTGTTCATTTCAGTTCTTCCTTAATTCATGACATTTTTGCTCTTTGCTTGTAGGAGTGAGTGTGCAGGGACCTCCTGGTAAAGCTGGACCACCTGGACCTGATGGAGCCCAGGGTGAAAGCGGTCCACCAGGTATTATTAGTTATTGTAGTTTAAAATTGTATTTATACTTTAGTTTAGGCATTATTTTAGACTATTAAATAACTATAGTAAAGTAATTTGCTCCCTATTAATAATTAATAAGGTGCTGCTGTGTTTAGGTTTGGGGTAGTATTGAGGGATCTGAAACTATTTTTTATTTATTTTTTGTATATTCTGCTAATTAGCCATTATTTAAAGAGCCCTTATTATATATTAAAAAGGGTCCTATTTTGGTTTTGGGGGTCTCCAACAACAGGCTGATATACATAATGCAAGGTCAAAAACACTTTTATTGTCCTATAATATGCTTTTATTTTTACAGTATTTATCTCAACAGCTTCTATATGAATTGTTCAGGGATTCATTGGTTCCCAAACCTCTCCTAGTTTGAAGCTAATCTGCGCTGATTGGACCAATGACAATCTGTTGCGATTGGTCGACAGCGTTCAGTCCAAGACAGAAAGAAATGCCGACCACAGCTTATCAACAATATTGAAGTAGTCAAAGTGCAGAGTGTCTCACACCTGCCTACACTCCCGTTTTTCCCGGGAGTTTCCTGTATTTCAGACCCATTTCCTGCCAACCTCCCATTTTGTTATTTCTCCCAGAAACCCCCCGTAATTTCAGTAAGAATTTGTCTTCAAAGTAAAGCATTACCAAAATTTATCAAGTGAATTTTGAGGTTTTCAGCATATATAATTGTGCATGAACATTAAGTGTGTTTACAACCTATCTAACATAAATACTCTTCATTCAGGGTCTCCTGGAAGTGAAAGTGTTATTGAGTCCCTGAAGTCTGAGATCCAGAATCTTAAAGCCAAGATTGACACAATTGAGAAAGCTGCGAGTTTCAGCAACTTCAGGAAAGTTGGACAGAAATATTACGTCACTGATCGTATTTTTGGAACGTTCGATAATGGCATAAAACTCTGCGAGAGCTCTAGTGGAACATTGGTTGTGCCAAAAAGTTCTGCAGAAAATCAAGCTTTAGTCAGGGTGGCAGCATCGAGTGGTTTAATTAATGAGAAGCCATATATTGGAGTCACAGACAAAGAAACAGAAGGACAGTTTGTAGACATTGAGGGGAAGCAACTAACATTTACCAAATGGGGACCAGGTCAGCCTGATGATTATCAGGGAGCACAAGACTGTGGTGTAATAGATGTTTCTGGCACTTGGGATGATGGAAATTGTGGTGACATACGTCCTATTATATGTGAAATAGACATCAAGTAGTAACTCTACCATATTTGCATGAAATGAGAATGCAGAAATTCCGTATTAAGGTTTTTTAAACAACCTATATGCTTTACAAATAGTTTATATTTGAGTGTGAAGCATTCTTCAGAATGTAAAATGATACATTTAATATACATAACAAAAAATAAATGCACCGAATGTTATGCAAACAACAATGTGTACAGTTCATGGGTGATTATAATATGCATCTAAAAAAGTATTTGGCACATGATCTTTAATGTATAATAAACAGTTAACCAGGTTGTAAAAATATGGGAGGTTGGGTGAAAAAAACAAACACACCCTAAAACACATTGTGCATTGTATGGGTGGAATATCCTGAGGGGAAGAGAGTTTTTTTTACAATGCAAGATTCACAACAACAGGCATACAGATTTTAAACCAGACGACCCTCCTCGCCAATCAGACTTGCTACACATTGGCTCCTTTATTAAACTGGTAAGTACCTGTCCTGAACATTATCTTAAAATATCAGTAAATAAATGAAAGAATTAAAAATGACAGAAATGGAGAACTGCAAACTGTTATCCAGCAAAGAAGCATAACGATGGACTCCCAGCTGGACCAAATGAAGAACTTTTGGAAAATTCATTAATCAAAAATTAAATCAGTCTTAATCAGTCAAGAATTTTTTAATGAATGGTAATTTAATTTTAAAATGTCATTTGGCCCATCTTTTTTTATCCGTATTGGGGGGTGAGGGTCCTGTTTACTCCATTGGCATGGCAGTCACACCTTTCTGAGGCGGTACCATTTTCATACCAAACATTTCGATAATATTATTCTTAAAGAAGACATAATCACTAATTATAAGTTTTTCAATAATAGACTCCTTCTGCATGGTAAGGCGGCAAGGTTGTAGTTTTGTTTAGGCATGATAAGCAATATAATCGTGCAGAACTGTACTGTATACATTGTAATACCGCTTATATGCTAATAATATACACGGTAATTTATCTTCCAAAAGTTTAACCCCATATTTATCTGCGGTACCTTAAGTTGAAGGATTTAATTTCCACTAAACTTAACAAACGAGTCGTCTTTTACAGGTTGAGGATAAGTTCTGTGAGTTTTCCTGTTTGTCCCAGCAGATGGCGCTGTTGAAGCTGTTCCTCGGGGTTTTTCTGCTCCTTCAGCTTGTTCTGCACGTATTGGTCGGAGCTGCTGAGCCTCAAACCCTGAACTGTCCTATATATGCTGGAGTTCCTGGTGTTCCGGGACACAATGGTCTGCCTGGCAGAGACGGGAAAGACGGAAGAGATGGAGCCACTGGACCCAAAGGAGAGAAGGGAGAGCCAGGTTTGTGTCTGGGATTGATGAGCGAGAGAGCATGAGCTTGTTGTTCATTTCAGTTCTTCCTTAATACATGACATTTTTGCTCTTGCTTACAGGAGTGAGTGTGCAGGGACCACCTGGTAAAGCTGGACCACCTGGACTTGATGGGCCGCAGGGTGAAAGGGGTCCACCGGGTATTATTAGTTATTTATAAGTTTATTTACACTTTAGTTTGGGCTCTAATTCAAACTATTAACTAGCTAACATAAACGTCTAATTTGCTCCCCATTCATAGTTAATAAGGTGCTGTTCGGTATAGGTGTGGGGTAGTATCAAGAGATTTGAAAAATAATTATTTTGTAATATTCTGCTAATCAGCCATCATGTATAGTGAGAATTTGTCCTCAAAGTAAAGTATTACCAAAATTCCTCAAGTAAAAATTTGGGGACTTCAGCATATATAATTGTGCATGAACATTAAGTGTGTTTACAACCTATCTAACATAAATACTCTTTATTCAGGGTCTCATGGAAGTGAAAGTGTTATTGAGTCCCTGAAGTCTGAGATCCAGAATCTTAAAGCCGAGATTGACACCATTGAGAAAGCTGCGAGCTTCAGCAACTTTAGGAGAGTTGGACAGAAATATTACGTCACTGATGGTATTTTGGGAAATTTTAATGATGGCATAAAATTCTGCAAGGATGCTGGTGGAACATTAGTTGTGCCAAAAACTGCTGCAGAAAACCAAGCTCTAGTCAGGGTGTCAGTATCCAGTGCTTTAAGTACTGGAAAGCCGTATATTGGAGTCACAGACAGAGAAACAGAAGGACAGTTTGTAGACATTGAGGGGAAGCAACTAACTTTTACCAACTGGGGTCCTGGTCAGCCTGATGACTACCGGGGAGGACAAGACTGTGGTGTAATAGAGGTTTCTGGCACTTGGGATGATGGAAATTGTGGTGACATACGTCCTATTATATGTGAAATAGACATGTAGTATATTTGCACAAAATGAGAATGCAAATATTGACCATTAGGGTTTTTTAAACAACCTATGAGATACTATTTAGATTTAAGTGTGAAGCACGTTCTTCAGTATGTAAAATGATACATTTAAAGAGCCCATATTATGGGTTTTTGAAAATTCCCCTCCATGTAGTGTGTAACACAGCTCTAAGTGAAGTGAAGTATCCAGCTAAGGCTTAAATCTGTAAGAATACAGTGTTTAAAACGGTTGATTCATCTATAAAAGAGTCGACTCATAGTGCTTCAAACGAGTCGCCTTGATACCGACTCATTAGGTGTTTCGCCATGACGTACGAACGAAACCAAGTTATTCACGTGCACGCGCAAACCCGGGAGATTTCAAACCTGAGGCCCCGCCCTCTGACGCAGAAACCCAGACACACACACACACCCACAAACACACGCACACCCACAAACACACGCACACCCACAAACAACACGCACACAAACATGCCGGTCGATTGAAGTCACACTGCAGATGGATATATTGAGTCTCTACCCAAAGATGAAACATCAGCATTATAACCAAGCAGTTGGAAACTTCTGGAAGCTACATGCTACAAAGAATACTTCATCTGAGTTTGTTAAAGGAAGGATCAGTAAAGAGTAACTGATGGACGTCAGGATGGGTTTCTTCCATTTCTCAAGTGTAAGTACGTGCGGTTAAAGTTGTTGCCTCGTTGACTCTAGCTTGCAAATGTATTTAGTTGTGATTTGTTACTTGTAACCGCGTGTACTGTATCAGGTTAACTGGATATTTTATCTTATCGCGTGCAAAGTCACGTTAAAAACGCGACGCGTGCTGTTTGTTTATGGAGCTCCGTGCTAGAGTTCTGAGTTCTATTCGGAAATTTATTCCCGCGCCGCAGAAATCTGGCGCGGGGACAGCCGCGGGAATAAATTTCCGAATTAATCGCGGGAGCGGTCGGTAACAGGTTTAATTTGGGACGGGAGCGGGCTGTCTAGCAATATCACGGATATTGCTATGCGAATTAGAAAGAGAGAGTCTGCGTGGTGCTTGTGTGTGTGTTAGTGCGCACGCGCGCGTATGAGAGAGAGCGAGAGAGAGAGCGAACGAACGAACGAACGAGCTTTGTGCTGTGTGTGTGTGTGTGTGTTTATACTGACAGCTTGGCTGTCTGGACTGTATACTGGGTGATTTTTTGGCGGCGGGCAGAAAACGGAGCGGGTTCTCAGGCTAAAACCTGGCGGGTGCGGGCGGAAGCGGGAGCGTTGTCATCCGGAGGTGTGTGTGTGTGTTTTTGTGTGTGTGTGGTATGGCGAGTACACGACTGTCTCCTTCGTTCGGTTATCCGTGGCACTATCCACTCGCCATAGTGTGGCAGCTAAACTCCACGTCTACACTATCGAGCGTGTATGAACTGTGATTACTTTTTAAATTGCTGATTAGCTATTGGCCATTTCACTCTCTGACTGAAGGCAGTCGACCAATCGCGACAGACTGTCATCGGTCCAATCAGCGCAGATTAGCTCCGCGCTAAGGAGGGGTTTGGGAACAAATGAATCACTGGACGATTCATACAGGAGTCGCTGGGATAATTAGGTAAAAATAAATGCAGATTATAAGACCATGAAAGTGTTTTTTGACCTTGCATGCATATTAGACTGTTGTTGGAGACCCTTACAACCAGGATATGACCCTATTTCATGTATAATATGGGCTCTTTAATATACATAACAAAAAATAAATGCACCAAATGTTTTGCAAACAATGTGTACAGTTCATGATTGATTAAAATATGCACCTACTGTAAATTAAGTCTTTTGGCAAATGATTTTAAAGGTATAATAGACTCAACTTTATTATCACGTTTAGAGAAACTAAAACTCCAGCAAGTTGCCATAACACAGGTAAAGTTCCATGTACACATTACCAAGTTTTTACTATAAAACATACAATAAATCAATTGTCAGATACATGCCCCTTCCCCCTGGACTTATTTAATAACCTAATGGCCACAATAAAAGAATCTCTAATTCTTTCTGTCCTATAGGAATTCTAAAACAACATCCTGATGGCTACAACTGAAACACAGAGTACAATGGGTGATCCGGGGTGCCGAAAATACCCTGAGCTCTCTTTAAGACATAATTTTGATACATTACCTTTGGCCCTGCTTAGTTAAAACTAATAATCTTGCCTGCCACCTTTACAAGGCTATCCAACCTGTTCTTATTTGACCATACCAAGCTACGATGCAGAAAGATAAAACAGATTCAATAAATTGATTATAGAACAGTGTTATCATTGGCTACAGCAGGGGTCACCAAACTTGTTCCTGGAGGGCCGGTGTCCGGCAGATTTTAGCTCCAATCCTAATCAAACACACTTGAACAAGCTAATCAAGGCCTTGCAAGGTATACTTGAAACATCCAGGCAGGTGTGTTGAGGCAAGTTGGAGCTAAACCCTGCAGGGACACCGGCCCTCCAAGACAGAGATTGGTGACCCCTGGACTAGAGGTACAAACCCTAAATGATCTAGGTTTCCTAAAAAAAAAAGAAAACAGTCTTTGTTGCTCTTTTTTATAGACAGCCTGGATGTTAGATTGGAATGTCAACATATTGTTGATAACAACCCCTAAATATTTATGTGTGCCAACAATTTCAATGTCCAAACCTTTAACTTGTCGGGGTAGAAGAAACCCTCCTGTAATCTATCACCATGTGTTTTGTTTTATTTACATTCAACTGGAGAAAAAATCTATCACACCAGGAAGTAAATTCTTCCACAACAGGACTATGCCCCAAATCCTGCTCATGGAGGAGACTCACAATCACTGAATCATCAGCCTATTTTATGATATGTCAATTTCCGTTCACAATGCGACAATCATTAAGTATACATGATGAACAAAAGGTGAAAGGCAACAACCTTGAGAGGACCCAGTGGTACAATACTGAAACTCAAGGGATCACCATTGACACACACTGCAGACGCCCTACTAAAATTACATAATCCATCCACTAATATTAAGATCCAAGTTCAAAGGGGATGTCAGTTTCTCAATCAACAAATATGGTTTCATAATGTTAAAAGTATAAGAGAAATCAATAAACAACAATTTGGCATGAGTCTTAGGCTTTTTCAGGTGGTTAAACAGGTGTTTCAACAGTGTAACAAGAATCTTAAACTCCCCTGCTTTGTCTAAATGCAAACTGCAATGGATTAAGCTTATCCTTTGTTCATATAAAATTTAATCTTTAACAATTTTGTCAAAGCACTTCATAACTAATGATGTAAGGGCAACAGGCCTGAAATCATTTATCTCCTGAGGAAACCTTTTGGCTTTAGGAACAATAACAGAATTTTTCTAAATTTCAGGAACCCTTTGTAACATAAGACACTGCGAAAAATGTAATGAAATATTTCAGAGAGCTGTTCCACACACGTATTTAACAGTCTACCTCCAATATTTCTGGGCCCAGACTTATTTTATTAATAGTTCTCTGAAATGGGCCTTTGACCTGAGTCATACTCATAAACAGTTAACCATAAATATGGGCGGTAGGGTGAACAAGATTACAAGATTCACAACAACGAGCATACAGATTTTAAACCAGACGACCCTCCTCGCCAGTCAATTTTCTTACAGACTTAAGGAACAGACACATTGGCTACATTAATAAACTTGTAAGTACCTGAATGTATTCTTAAAATATCAGTAAATAAATGAAATAATTAAAAATAACAGAAATTGTGAACTGCACTCTTTTATCCAGCAAAGAAGCATAATGATGCACTCTATTTTGTGTTATGATTATATGCTTACCCAGATGGACCACATGAAGAACTTTTAGAAATTCATAAATCAAAAATTAAATCGAGGAAATAGTCTTTATCTGTCAGTCAAGAAATAATAAATGAATGATAATTTAGTTTCAGAATTTTCCCATATAGCAAACATTTAGATATTATTTTTAAAGAACACATATTCACTAATTATACATTTTTATTTAATAAACTCGTGCTACTACATGTTGATAGTAAGTAAGGCAAGGTTGTAGTTTTGTTTCGGCATAAGCGCTATGATCGTGCAGAACTGTACTGTATACATTGTAATATACTACTAAACCTCTTATATGCTAATAATATACACCATAATTAATCTTCCAAAAGTTAAACCCTATTTATCTGAGGTACCTTAAGTTGAAGGATTTAATCTCCAGCAAACAACAAACGAGGAAATAGTCGTCTTTTAAAGATTGTGGAAAAGTTCTGTGAGGTTTTTCTGTTTGTCCCAGCAGATGGCGCTGTTGAAGCTGTTCCTCGGGGCTCTTCTGCTCCTTCAGCTTGTTCTGCAGCTGCTGGCTGGAGCTGCTGACCCTCAGAGCCTAAACTGTCCTGCTTATGCTGGAGTTCCTGGTACTCCGGGACACAATGGTCTGCCTGGCAGAGACGGGAGAGACGGAAGAGATGGAGCCACTGGACCCAAAGGAGAGAAGGGAGAGCCAGGTTAGTGTGAGAGTAAATCTGTATCACTGTTTCACTGATTCCAATAAAGTGTGTTTTATACTACTATACTGTCTCAGGAGTGAATGTGCAGGGGCCACCAGGTAAAGCAGGACCACCTGGACCAGCCGGAGCAAAGGGTGAAAGAGGACCATCAGGTATATAACATTAAAAAGATTCAAATGAACTTTTTTTGTGAATATAATCATGTTCTTTGAATTGTAAATAATTTATATTTAATACAAAAAACTATACCTTCATATGTCTTCTCATACCTTTGTCAAATTTCAGGCTTACCAGGACAGGACTGCATGTCTGACTCACTGAAATCTGAGCTCCAGAAACTCAGTGACAAGATTGCCCTGATTGAGAAGGTTGTGAATTTTAAAACGTTCAAAAAAGTTGGACAGAAATATTACGTTACTGATGACGTCGAGGAGACTTTTGATAAGGGGATGCAGTACTGCAGTAGCAATGGGGGAGCTTTAGTTTTGCCAAGAACTCTTGAAGAAAATGCATTACTGAAAGTATTTGTATCCAGTGCTTTTAAAAGGCTATTTATTAGAATCACAGACAGAGAAAAAGAGGGAGAGTTTGTAGACACTGATAGAAAGAAGCTGACGTTTACCAACTGGGGTCCTAATCAGCCTGATAACTATAAGGGAGCACAAGATTGTGGTGCTATCGCAGACTCAGGCTTATGGGATGATGTCAGCTGTGATAGTCTGTATCCCATCATATGCGAAATAGAGATCAAATAGAATGTGTACCACACTATACAGCTTTTTTGCACAAAATAATAAAAAGATGTCAAGTTTTCTAACATGTTGAACTTTAGAGGAGTTAAGAAATGAAAATTTGATTTCATAACTCTGAACATGCAGTTTTTTGATTAACTGTATTAAATGTAAAAATTTTGCCTAATAAAATCCATTAAATCCAGAGAAACTGAAAATTTCTCTTTTTTCCATAGCTACCTCTGAACCACTGATCTATATTAGAGATTATTATTCTTCAATTCATTCATTTTCCTTCAGTTTAGTCCCTTTATTTATCAGGAGTCACCACAGCAGAATGAACCACCGACTGATCCAGCATATATTTTTACACAGCGGATGCCCTTCCAGCTGCAACCCAGTACAGGAAACACTAATACACACTGATTCACACACACACACACACACACACACACACACACACACACACACACACACACACACACACACACACGCTAGGGCCAATTTAGTTTAAATAATTCCCCTATACCGCATATCTTTGGACTGTGGGGCAAACCGGAGCACCCATAGGAAACCCACGCAAACACAGGGAGAACATGCACACAGAAATGCCAACTGACCGAGATTATTATTATTTTGTATTACTATAATTAGCATTATAAAGATCAGTGATCTGACAGCAGTTTTCTTTTATTTCTTAGTTTAGCAAAGCAAAAACAGTCTTATGCAGGCACGAGTCAAGTAGCTACTTCATAGTAAATATTATACGTCTGATGTAATTTAAGCATTTAAATGAAATAATCTCATGAATTCACTTCTGATTCTCCTTTAATCAGTTCTTAATATATAGACAAACATTGAATGTTGTTGTAAGGCTCGGTGGTTAGCACTGTCGCATCGTAGCAAGAAGGTTGCCATCTCGAGTCCTGATTAAACCAGTTGGCATTTCTGTCTGGAGTTTGCATGTTCTCCCCCTGTTGGCGTGGATTTTCTCCGGGTGCTCCGGTGTCCCCCACAGTCCAAAAACATGTGCTGTTGGTGAATTGGATGAACTAAATTTGGCCGTAGTGTATGAGTGTAAATATGAGAGTGTTTTTCAGTACTCGGTTGCAGCTGGAAGGGCATCCGCTGTGTAAAACATATGCTGGATAAGTTGACAGTTTTGCTGTGGTGACCCCTGATAAATAAGAGGACTAAGCTGAAGGAAAATTAAATAAAATTAAAAAAATAACGAAGCTTGAAGAAATAATGAATGTGTTGGTGTGTTACTAAGAAATGCAAAAGTAGTTTAAATATTTAGCATATTTCACAATTTCCTGTGATTTCTCAGTATTTCATTGTTCATTCATTCATTTTCTTGTCGGCTTAGTCCCTTTATTAATCTGGGGTGCCACAGCGGACAATACACAGTACACAGTACTTATCCAGCACATTTTTACGCAGCGGATGTCCTTTCAGCCGCAACCTCTGGGAAACATTCACACACACACAAACTAATACACTACAGACAATTTAGCCAACCCAATTCACCTGTACCGCATGTCTTTGGACTGTGAGGGAAACCAGAGCACCTGGAGGAAACCCACGCAAACACAGGGAGAACATGCAAACTCTTCACAGAAACGCCAACTGACCCAGCCAAGGCTCGGACCTGCGACCCAACGACCTTCTTGCTGTGAGCCAACAGCACTACCTACTGTTATAGTATTTTATTGTGATATCTGAAAATGTAAAACATGTGAGATGTGATAATAGAAAAGCAAAGATACCAAATTCACAAAACACATAATGTTTACAGAGCATCTCTTAAGTGCTCAAGCATTTCATGTGCTGGCAGGGTTTGCCAGTTTTCCCCAACAAATCTACCTAAATGGCCTATAAAACTAGCCCAATAATATCAAAAGATGCCATCGCCAAAGTGTATTTACGTTAAGCAAACACTGAGAACTTCTCAGAAGGTGAAATCTATCATCTTTTTTCAGTTTTTATTCATCTTGATTTTTAGGTTACAAATAGGTGTGTTTTAGGTGTCTTCTTTTCAAATATTACATATAAATTATGGGTCTGAAATTGAGAACAGTAAAAATAGCACGTCATGATTTAGCCAAGTACAATGTGATCACGGATTAACAGCTATTTAAATCAGGAACATGTCCTATTTGGTGAAATCAGGTAGGCTGTGAAAATATGCAGTGTTTTAGTTAGATTTTTGTTTTGTCATTGAACTTTAATCCAGTGGCCAGTTGCATAAAACGCTTTGAACCTTTGACTGTTGACATTCAATGTTTTTCTTTTCTTTTAGAATAGACCTGACTGTTTCAAGTTGCATAAAAACGTAGATTCCTTATTAGAATGGGATGGTTGTAATTTTTTTCTTTGCCTTTTCTTCAGTTTCTTAGTTTTTTTTGTAGAAAACCAAGAATAAAATTTAAACTTGAACAGACAAAATTGAAACATTTATTAAACTTTAATAATAAAATAATTCTAAAAGATCAGATTTAATTTTTTCATATTTGGAAATCTAATGCTTCAGTGCATACCCATAAAGGTATATTCAGCACTCTCAAGGAGATTGTCGCAGCCAGAGTCGATGAGTTTGATTTCTAGCATGTCCTTGATGATCAGGAGGATTTCCTGTTTAAAATCCCTGTGGAAAACACCATGTAGGCAGCTCACATACATGGCTGTTGTTGCTTGCCACATGACAAGCTGTGCCAGCGATTCACAGAGTCTGCCTTCATAGTTCTGGGCGAAATTAGAGGTCCTCGCAGGGATCAGGCCGCTCCAGGATCAGGATGTAATAGTCTTCCTTACCATTCCAGTCCTACAGCTGGCTAATTTAGGGGTCAGTGTCTTCATTTGATAGAATTAATGGGGCAACCTCCACAACCATCAGACCATGGCTAAGAGAAAGACAGATTTGATTATGGTTAAATGAAGATTATATTTACAAATATTTAAAAAATGCTATGAAACATAAACCACACTCTACTTGCATTGTTGATGTATTCGCTTAAAAAAGAAAAGGAAAATCAATCCACATCCAATTATTGATCCTTTAATCCTTTATTAATCCTAATTACCAAGAGCAGGTATGTTATGTAACTATAAACATATACAAAAAACATCTGAAAATAACTGTCAGATCATTTGGTTCATCTGACAGTTTGACACACAGAGGTCAGATTCTCACTGGACAAAACATACACTATAAAGACTTGCAACAGGTATGACTAGGATGAAGGAAATTACTAGGTACTTAAAAAGGTTAAATTCAATTTAATAAATGTCAAAATCTAATTATTGATCTTTCACTGATCTTTAACTGATTTTTTATTCATCTTGCCTTCACAAACAGCTCCAAATCCTCCTTGACCCAGCAGATTGGCAACTTCATACTGGTTGAAGATGGCTGTAAAAGTTAAATAAGGGAATTTAAAAAAACAAGCAATGACATCTTTATCCAAACCAATGAACACTATTAATTAAAAAACAAAAATTATAGAATAATAATTCATCTAAATTAATTTGGATTTATGATTAGAAGTTCAATTATATTCATATAGTCTGTATAATTAATCAATTACCAGAGTACATGTCAAATCATTATCAAATAAAAACCTAATTAGCAAAAAAGGTTCCTTTGTACCTGAGCACAATGTTGGATGTTCTCACTCAAGTCAGACTGGAGATGAACCGGAGCTTCAGTGGCATCAGCACTCAGACACAAAGCGAATTGGAGCTTCGCATATAGCCTGTGACAGACACAATGCTGATTGCAGCATCAGGAGCTTCACTAACACTGACCAGATCGAGCACCAGCAGCTTCAGGAGCGTCACTATCGCAGTCAGACATGCTGACTGGAGCTTCAAGGGTGCCATTTCAATGTAACAATGTATTTCTAGCTTGTCTTTGGATGATTCTTATAATTCTTTTTAAAATCACTTTGGATAAAAAAATCTTCTAAATGAATAAATGCAGTGTATGTTTGAGTCGTTAATAGCACAGTTAAAAGAGGCAGTGCTTTATATAATGTTTTCATTTATATATTTTACAATGAAACAGTGTAGCCAGGGTGAGATGAGAGACGTTATAAAGTACACTAAATATTTACCCGCCTTCGTTCTCCCTATTCAGATACAACAAGAATGCAAGTCCAAACTTTGTGTACTTTGTATTGAGAAACAAGTCGCCCCAATCAGGGAACGATTCTTGGCAGCTACGCCTCCGTTTAGGGGTCAAAAACTCCGTGTGAACGGAAGAAGTAACCGTAGCAAAAAAAAAGCGTTTTAAAACTAGAACGTATTAGTGTAAACGAGGCCGCAGTCGGAGTAAGAGTCTATACTGTTCACATTTATCACTTGGCGTGATCTGTTGGTAAGATTATGCCTTTTAAAGTAAATGTATGCCAATTTTTTGTAATTTGTGTTGTCCACTTGTCAGACCACATTTTGTCAGAACGACTTTTACCTGTAAAGAATTAAAAATATGAGGCAAAAGTTGCTTGTATATGGTAATATGCATGTATATCACGGCAACAGAAATTGTTTGCTTATATCAACAGTGAGCAGCAGATGGCGCTGTTAAAGCATCAGCTCTGTGCTGTACTTCTCATGATGGAGTCTGGGCTTATATTATCCGCGTCTGAGAGTAGTTGTCCATCTTATGCTGGTGTTCCTGGCATACCTGGAAACAATGGCAGCCCTGGCAGAGATGGAAGAGATGGGTTTCCTGGACCAAAAGGAGAAAAGGGAGATCTAGGTTCAATTTTTTTGTTTGTTTTGTTTTGTATAAAGTTATTGTAGTTATGGAACATTATAAGGCAATGACAAATTAATAGATAGTGAGAGATATTGAGATAATCTCTCTCTGCAGGAATTGGTGCACAGGGACCCCCAGGAAAAATAGGACCACCAGGAGCTCCTGGACACAAAGGGGACAGAGGAAGTCCAGGTTTATCAGGTAAAATTAAAACTATAGAGCTGGGGTAGATGGAGGGTTTTCGAGCATCTCTCCAGTAATCTTGCAATTTTAATGTTGACTGAGGAATCTAATTAGCTGTATAATTTGCAGATGCTAATTGGCTGTATTAGTGACTCTGCATGTGCAATTTTTCACAATCCTAAAGGATTTTAGCTTGTCAGACTCCATGAACACAAGCTTTTTGACAGCTTATATATACAGATAAAGTCAAACTTATTAGCCCTCCTGTGAAATTGTAATAATTAGTCAAACATTTCCAAAATGCTGTTTAACTGAGAGAAGTTATTTCAACACATATTTTAACATAATCATTTTAATGATTAATTTCTTTAGTCTTTACAATGACAGTACATAATATTTACTAGTTATTTTGCAGGATAGATTCGGCTTAAGGTGCATTTAAAGACTTAACATGTTAATTACGTTAACATGTACCTTAACTAGGCAAGTCATTTGACAGCTGTGGTTTGTTTTGTAGAAAACTGAAAAACAAACATTTTCTTAAGGGGGCTAATAATATTAACCTTAAAAATTGTTTGTCGGATTAATTTAGCAAATATGAGAAAACTGCTTTTAATCAAGCCAAAATAAAAGAAATAAGACTTTCAGAAGAAAAAAAATATAATTGGAAAAACTGTGAAAATGCCCTTGCTTCTTCAAACACTCACACACTCAAAGGGCTTATCACCAGCGACCTTCTTTTTGTAAGGCAATCATGCAAACCACTTCACTTAGGAATAACATCACTTGGGAATTATTTGAACAGAATAAAAATTTCACTGGGGGGATAATCATTTTTCCTTCAACTGTACACTACCTGACAAATGTCTTGTCGTCATTTCAAGTTTTGGAAACAACAAATAATAACTTGACTTAGTTGATCAATTAGAAGTGGCTTATATAAAAGGCAAATACCTCTTGGTTTTACCAAAATAAAATATGATCATGTCTTGATTTTTCAAATAATTAGGACAGTACGGTCTGACTTTGCTTAGACAAAAGTCTTGTCACTTAACAGAAATAATGTTCAGAGTAGAATATAAAGTCATGGTGCAGTGGAAAAAGAACTAATAATGTGTTTGAATGCTATGAGCTTGGAGGACTGCATCCATGCAACTCTGCAATGACTCTAAAAACTTATTATTAAAGTCATCTGGAATAACAAAGAAAGCGATCTTGTAGGACTCCCAGAGTTCATCAGGATTCTTTGGATTTATCTTCAATGCCTCCTCCTTCATCTTTCCCCAAAAATGCACAATAGTGTTCATGTCTGGTGACTGAGCTAGCCAATCCTGGAGCACGTTGACCTTCTTTGCTTTCAGGAACTTTGACGTCTGAAGAACTTGCCTTCTCCTGCGGTTTGTAATGTAATGGGCAGCACAAACGTCTCAATACCTCAGGCTGTCGTTGCCATCCCCATACTAAATGTAACCCCAAACCCTGATTTTTTTTCTTCACCAAACTTAACTGATTCTGTGAGAATCTTGGGTCCATGCGGATTCCAATTGGTCTTGTGATTATTGAGATGCAGGTCAACAGATGATTCATCTGAAAAATCTACCATCTGCCACTTTTCCAAAGGATCAACTAGAAGTCAAGTTATTATTTGTTACTCTTACAACTGAGATCGACGTCAAGACTTTGAACTATGAACAGTTCAGATTCAAAAACCTCTAAGTTTTATCTGAAATTTTCTCAGCCTCTGTTTATGTAGTTATTTCATGTTAAAAGAAATGGAAAAACTTATTCTTTCCATAAAAGTGAAATTACTGAACCCTGAAAAAATTTCAGAGGTTTTTGCATCTGAACTCTTCGTATGTTATTATATCTTAAACACTGTACAAAATAATTGTGACTAAGCTTAGTTTATTTCACACGTTCTGCCTGTGATTTTCACTCTGCTGAGCTTTTACAGGGACTGATGTTCAAAATACATTAGTAACACAGCTTCGATCTGACGTCAAACACCTTACAGACAGACTCACTGTAATAGATAAAGGTATTTCTACTCATTAGTGATTGCACTGTATTTTTTCATTATTTTATTAAATGTTTAAATAAGAAAATGCTGGTAAAATCTTTTTTTTATGTTTAGTCCTTGGATTTCGCATGTTCAAGAAAGTGGGACAGAAGTATTATGTGTCTGATGGCCTGGTAGGAAATTTTGAAACGGCACAGAAGTTCTGCTCTGATGCCGGGGCTAAAATTGTCCTGCCAAGAAGTGAGGATGAGAATAAAGTGCTGATTTCATTGCAAGAGGCCCTCGAGTCTACTTATGTACATGTTGGTGCAACAGATGCAAAGAAAGAGGGGCATTTTGTAGATTTGAGCGACCAGCCTCTAACTTTCACTAACTGGAAAGAAAAGGAGCCGAATGATTATAATGGGGCAGAGGATTGTACAGCTGTTTACAAAACTGGTGTGTGGAATGACATTAACTGTAATTCAAAGTGGCATGTGGTGTGTGAACTGTGAAACAGATTATGTTATTGTTACGATGAATAAATAACAAGTGATTCAAAGGAAACTCACAATTAATAAAATATTAGGTTTCTGTTATAGTGACATCACAAAGGTTGTTGCTTGCTTTTTTAAGTGTTTAAGTTTTGCTTAGAAATGTAATATAATTGTTCAAAGTGAACTGTGTGTTTAATTTTGAAGATGCAATGAAAATAAATATTGAGTTACTTAATAGTGCATCTCTGGAAAGTTATTTTTAATTTCTATCAACCTTTTGTTGTCATTTACCTTGTCATAGGACTTTAGTAAATAATTGTGACCCAAAATTAAGATATTTTAACCAAATATGTGAGATATTACATTAGTACTTTTGTATCAAGCAAGTGTACTTGAGCTTTCAAAAAATAAAACTTGATTTTTTTTCTAAACATTGTTGATCAATTCATGTGAATAAAGGCTCAAAAAACAGTGGTTTAGTGGTTAGCACTGTCGCCTCACAGCAAGAAAGTTGCTGGTTTGAGTCCTGGCATGTTCTCCTCATGATAGTGTGGGTTTCCTCCAGGTGCTCCGGTTTCCCCCACTGTTCAAAGACAACACATAGGTGAAGTAAAATAACTAAATTGTTTGTAGTGTATAAGTGTGTGTCTGAATGAGTGTGTATTGGTGTTTCCCAGTACTGGGTTGCAGCTGGAAGGCCATCTGCTTCGTTAAACATATGCTGAAATAGTTGGTGGTTCATTCCGCTGTGGCGACCTCTGAAAACGAGACTAAGCAATAGAAAAATAAATGAATGATGAAGGCTAAAAATCTTATGTGTCTCTTGGTTGTCTCTTCATGAGACTTAAAATCACAGCTTGATTAAAGTTTATTTATTAAAAAATTTCTATACAAATGTTTGGGATTGGTGGTTCATTCCACTGTGGCAACTTGTAATAAATAAGCTGAATGGAAAATAATGTTTAGAACTGTTGGTTGAACAGACTGTCAATAGATTGACAGAAATCTTTTGGATTTGGTTAAAAATATCAAAATTTTCTTCATTCATTCATTTTCTTTAAAGCTTAGTCCCTTTATTAATCTGGGGTCGCCACAGCGGAATGAACAACCAACTATTTCAGCATATGTTTAACGAAGCAGATGGCCTTCCAGCTGCAACCCAGTACTGGGAAACACCAATACACACTCATTCAGACACACACTCATACATGATGCCCTTCCAGCTAAACCCATTACTGGGAAACACCCATACACAGTCAATCACACACATACACTACAGACAATTAGCTTAACCAATTCACCTATAGCGCATGTCTTTGGACTCTATAGGGGAAACCGGAGCACCCGGAGGAAACCCACACAAACACGGTGAGAACATGCAAACTCCACACAGAAATGCAACTGACCCAGCCGAGGCGATTGTGCCACCGTAATGCCCCAAAGTTTTCTTATGGGTTTGAAAAAAACTTGATGGCAAGTAAATAATGGCAGACTTTTCATTTTCAGCAGTAACTAAACAAAGCAAAGCATATAATCATAGTATTTAAATGCAAACATTTGCTCTTTAACTTCAAAAATGAAGGCAATCAGGTGATTTATTTGTATGCCAACTCACTGATGTTTATGGTAGTTTTTTGCAGACTTCTGTATCATCAAAAAAATCAGGTCACATATTTATTCGTATTCCATATTTATGAACGGCAATAAAGATTAAGGACGACGCATTGGCTAGCCAGTACTTGTACAATTTTGTATTTGTTTAAAAAGTTTTATTACAAAAGGATATAATTTTATGCATTGGAAAAATAATCACATCTGAAAAAACAAACTTGGTGAACAAACGTCCACAGATAGCAAATGTTGGGTGTCCATTGAGGTAAATATATCATTAAAAATATTAAAATATCATTATAATGAGAATAGTAATATAAATATTGTTTTGTCTAATTAAATCTTGGATTCTGTGTACAATTACAACTGGAAAAGCAGAAAGCCGCTGAAACTGGTGTAGCTGAGATCATCATCATACACCCAGTTATTCTCCCACAGCTGTGTGAACACTTGATCGCCCTTGTCCAGTGAGAGAACGACACCATTGCTGCCATTAGCATTGCTCGCAGGATGCCGAGAAAACACTGAACATTGTATCTGATTATTTTTATGGAGGCTGACAGCCATTTGTTTAGTAGGATGAGCATGAGCATAAAATCTGAAGAAATAGACCCCATTCACTGGTGCTGTGAAAATACCTGCAAGACATATAATTCAAGAATTATATAAAAAAAACCTTGTGTTATTTAAAAACATACTTTGGCATAACAGTTAATGCCATAAAGAGAAATGAATGACTCAGGTTACCAGTGCTGGAGTCATAAGCATTTCCAGCATTAGCAAAGATTTTTTTGTAAATCAGAGTCTTTCGAGTCTCAAAGGGTCCAAATTCTTGTGATCCGGATTGCAAAAGTCCAGCTGAAAAGGCAACCTTTTTGGCTGTGAAAAGAAAAAAGAAGTTTGATTTGTTTTGCTTTTGTCATATTTACACAAGTCATATTTTAATTTACCTTTACTTTCTGCTTCCACTGATTCAAGTTTATCACTCGAGACCTTTGTCAAGATCCTTAAAGCTGTAAAAAAAACATTTCCAAAAATGTTATTATATATATATATATATATATATATATATATATATATATATATATATATATATATATATATATATATATATATATATATATATATATTATACAAACTTTATGTTTCATGTCTTGTAAAACTGAAGTCAAGCAGATCATTCATTCGTTGATTCATTTTCTATTCAGTTTAGTCTCTTTATCAATCAGGGGTCGACACAGCAAAATGAACCGCCAACTTATCCAGCATATGTTTTACGCAGCGGATGCCCTTCTAGTTGCAACCCATCACTGGGAAACACCTACTCACACACAGGGGCGGATTTAACCAATAAAGGTAAACGGCCACTAAGGGCCCCTAGAAATCTGAGGGCCCCCAAATAAATACCTAGACGTATAAATGATACCTATAAATTATATATAACATTGTTTTCTATCATATTTTGTACAGTGAGAGTAATTTGACCGTAATTATTTGGGCAAATTTGTCCCCCACCTTTAACCATGGACCAGTCCAGCAGTCAAATCAGTAAAGATTTAGTTTTTAAAAAGGAATAGTTCATTTATTATTTAGTTGTGAATTCATTTTAAGTGAAACATTAAATGTTTTACAAAATGCTTTACATGTTATTATTATTTAGCATTTAGATTAAAAGTAGAAAAGGAGAAAGAATAATTTAAGAAAAACTGCAAAATAATAATAAAGAAATTAAAGGTGCATTTTAGAACTTTTGGGCCCCGTGGTTGGAATAGCTTAGGGTCCCAAAATCACTAAATCTGCCCCTGTTCACACACATTCACTACGGACATTTTAGCTCACCCAATTCACATATAGTGCATGTCTCTGGACCTGTGGGGGAAACCGGAGCATCTGGAGGAAACCCACGCCAACTCGGGGAGAACATGCAAACTCAACACAGAAATCCCAACTGACCCAGCAGAGGCTCGAATCAGTGACCTTCCTGCTATGAGGCGACAGCGCTACCCACTGCGCCATCGCACCACCCAGTCAATCAGATATTTCTAATAAATACTGGTTTGTCTCTACTAAAAGAAATGCTTGTTTTGTTATCATTTAATTTCTTTTCTTTGTAAATTCCATTCCCACAAATGCAAATTTACTAATACCAAACCAAATATTCCTGTTTTTTTGCAAGAGTTCAGATATTATTTAAATATTATTTCATTATTTGAAAACTAAGAAAGCAAACAGAACTATTTCATTTTGTAATGACTTTAATATACTGTATTTGATTCTTAAATGCCTTACCCTCAAGTTTATTTCAGGTTCTTTATTATTATTGTTATTATTTTAAATTATTACTTTTTTATTGACAATGTAATTCATATTCTGTATTGTCTACAAATATTGATACAAACATGTCAGTTTTTTTTTTTTTTGCAAATAAATAAATAAATAAATACTGATCTGAGACATTTACCTTCATTCTCTCTCTTCAGTTCTTTCAGTGTTTCCTCTGTGGCTGTTAGTCTTGCCTCAATGTTTTTTAACTGTTCTGGTGTAATTAAATCATGTGCCAGTGAGACCCCGACACACACCAATATTAGCATATTTTGAGTAGCCAACATTTTCAAAGCTGCACACATTTGTGCTGTTTTTATGCTTTTATGTTTGATTTTTGAACAGTTTGGGTCAGTATGGAATCACATGATGCTGAAAAGCAAACATGACCCTTGTATTGTTTGCACTGGGAGATGAAAAAGATTTAGATTAAACAGTAATTGATGAGATTAAAAGTCACAAACAAAACATGCTTAAAATTAAAGGTTCCAAATGTATTTTTGAGCATGGTTGTTTTTTTTCAGTAATGCTATAGGAAACCCTTTCTTCCACAACATTTCAGTAAAAAGTAACATTGTTTTTCTGAGTATAATGAACATTTTAAAAATAAAATTAGTTTTTAAAAAGCTGTAGATTACCTTTTAAAATATAAGTTGTATGAAATTGAATAGCATCATAATGTAGTGAATGTAGGCCTGTTGAAAAGTTTTCACTGCTCCCCAATACAGTATATAAAAAGTGAAAATGTTCAATCTTTTGTCACTAAACTCACAATCATATCGCAAAAACATAGTAGAACACGTGCAAATCAGTAAACTTTAAGTATAACTAAAAATAAAACTAAGAATAAACAAGGTATTCAACTCAGAATTGAATCCCCAAATATAAAATATAAATCCCCAAGTATAGCTAAAATATTCATTCATTCATTTTCTTTTCGGCTTTGTCTGTTTATTAATTTGGGGTCACGACAGCAGAATGAACTGGTAACTTATCCAGCATGTTTCCAGCCGCAACCTATCACTGGGAAACACCCACACACTCTTGCATTTGCACACATACACTACGGACAATTTAGCCTACCCAATTCACCAAACTTATAGTGCATGTCTTTTGGGGGAAACCGGAGCGTCTGGAGGAAACCCACGCGAACACGCGGAGAAAATGCAAACTCAATCAGAAATGCCAACTGACCTAGTTGGGACTCGAACCAGCAATCTTCTTACTTTAATGCGAAAGCGCTACCCACTCCACATTTCGTACTGCATTCAGTAAAAATAACACAGGTTTCTGACGTTCTCACTCCCATAAACTCTCGTGTGAGAAGCAGATATTTGTTTGTCACTAAACAAAAAATCAGGTACTTTTCAAACATTCATGCGCCTGATCTGTGATTGGATAAAAAGTTAATTTAGGGCGTGACGTCACGTTGTCGGTTAAACGAAGAAGGAAAAAGCCCAGCTTCCGGTGTAGTGTATGACCACAGGACAAAACTGCCAGGAAAATGCGGTAGGCAAGTTGTCATAACTAAAAGAGAAATTAAAACACGGCGCATCCACAGTGCCATCTTTATGACTTTAAAATAAATGTGGCTTATGGTTGTACGGCCCAAGGGCTCTGTGACGGAAGTAATCGGGCTAGCTGATCAGTCATCGATCGACCGCTATTAGAGCTCTGAGCGCGGGGAGACATGGGGACTAGATCCAGCCGTTTACACGAGGAGGCTGCCTCCCCATCTTTTGATAAAGACGGCATCAAGAGAGAGTCCTGTCGACGGATCCGGAGCACCAGGCCCACCAGCCTCATGGTGGAGTTCTCCGGGAGTTTCGACCACGACTCTGAGACGAACCGCAGCCGGTCAGAAGAGGGCAGCGACTCGGATACCGGGCAGCAGGCGAGCAGCGACGGCAGCCCTGCCGACCGCCACACGTCCCCGTCTCTCAGCAGCGAGGCCTCGCCATCGGATGAGAATGGAGCCGACGAGAAACGCGAGGATGACGGCAGTCCTGGAGGCCCTGTGAGCGAGGAGGAAATAGGCCGTGCACCGCAGCGCACTTTCTCCGAACGTTTGCCTGGTGGTCGCCATTCCTCCGCCAGCGGAGTCACTGCAAGGTCTGCCCGGGTGAGAGGAACTCACGCACGGCCAGTGTCCGAGGCGTGGATCGGCCTCTACAGAGTCAACAACCGGCACGGTGGTAAGTTGAAGTGCTGATTGTTTGTTTGTTTGAAATGTTACTCTTCGTTCGGTCTGTGTTTTGACATTTAAGCCAGTTGTGTTTTCAAAACAACACAGCCTATGTGTTTGACTCGGAACACCGTTTATATATTAGGATTTAAACACCATATGCATTATGCTATACAAAGTAAGTAACGGCTAAATGTTTATTTTGTCATCATTTTTCTACTTTACTTTTATTTGATTCCAGTATCGCATTCACAAAAGAACTAGGGCATAACTTGCTTTCCATTTACATATTTTAAAAAGTAGAAAATAAAGTTTTTAAAAGATAGTTCACCCAAAAATTTTCTTTTGTCAAACACACAATAAGATGTTTTGAAAAATGTTGGAAACCTGGAATTTGTTTTCCCTACTATTGGCGTCAATGGTTACAGATTTTCAGTGATTTTTAACTATTCATTAGTGTTTAACAGATAAGAAACTCTTAAAGATTTGGCAAACCACTCAATAGCAAATAAAAAATGAGTACTTTTCATTTTTGCCTTAACCCTCCTTTTAGGTTTTATCGTTTTCCACATGCAAAAACGTTTTTACAAACTTGTTACCTTATTTGGAATTTTGGTTATACACTACAGTTGTATACTTTTTTATTTGTACTTTTAGCAATCCCAATTGACTGTTATTCAAGAGTTTTTTTATTTATTAAATATAAAATATGGAAGGTGATTAACAAAGATTAATGGTTCTGCGTGAGACTAATGAGCTCACAGTGTAATCAGGTTTTAGGGTTTATAGGCATTTCAGACATTCCTGACAGGATCATCCATGATGGATTGAAATGCAAAGACCAAATGTGAGCCCAGTTTACTGTTGATCTCTGTATTTTGTTTTTCCACTATATTGGTCAGTTGGGCATAGTCCAGCCAGAGGGTTCAGAAAAGTGGGCCACATGAGTGTCAGATTGTGTCTCTCCTGCATCTCACAAAATGCTTACTGTGTCTCTAGTTTATAATAATAGGTCATCTACATGATATATTTTTTCCTCTTTTCCAGCTATTCGTTGTCCTTTTTGCACCAAGCCGTTCCCTGGAGGGCGGATTGAGGACCACCTTTTAAGTTGTCTGACTTCTCCCCCTCTTCCTTATAACAGTAAGCATCCCATTTGTTTTTTTATTATTGTATGTCTTCTGCTACATCTTAGTTCTGGAATCAATTGCATCTGATTATCCAACAGCGGATGTGCTGGCTAAGGACAGTGGAGAGTGTTCAATCTGTCTTGAAGACCTGCTACAAGGAGAAACCATCGCTCGACTGGCCTGCCTGTGTGTCTACCATAAGAGGTAAACACTGATTAAATTAAAAAGGTCAAGTAAAGAGAATTTTCTGAAGAATGTATTGAATAATCGCTGATATTATTCTAAACAGTTGCATTGACACATGGAGCAAAGTGAAGCCGTGCTGCCCTGAGCATCCTTTTGATTGATTCATGTGACTGCGTGCAATGACACTGACTCAGGTGAGCTTGTTTATTCAAATACATCAGTTCATTAGAGTTGTTTAATGTTTTCAGTTGGACTGTCCCGCTTTTTATGACTGCAGAAGGCTTTTTTATGAAATGAACTCACTCGCAGAGATATTTAGCAATGTCTCGTCAGAAAAATAGAATTTTTGTCATGTATTATAGTTAAAAATCTTATCTAGTTCATGATTTTATTTTTTAATTGTATATTATTAATTACATGTGTTTTTGCCATGAAAATGGTCTATTGTTGCTGACATGGCATTAATAAAAATATATGATATGAAATGTTTTAAATAAATAAATAAATCGAAGTGTCATCATTTTGTTTTAAACCATTATAATTTCAACACCATTTTCTGAGACATTTGATCTGCACATTTTGGTTTATTTTTCCTTCTTTATTGCTCCTGAATCAGATTTTTGGTTGTTTGTTTAAAAAGAGCTTCATGATCTGAACTGAGTATCTCAGAAAGACATGCAAAATGTGCGGAAAAGTGGATCCTCGATTTCAGAATTGAAAATCATTGGAACGGATCATATTTTGAGAACTCTTTTACAACATTGGGCCCCTTTGTTGTGATTGTATAGACAAAAAAACACTGAGACATGTATCAAAATGTCTTTTTTAAAGTGGGATACAAGGCATAAATTCTGATGGGCGGAAAATTGTATGCGTCATGATAAGCGAGTCTAGCCCTGGGTTCAGATTTTAAAGGACATTTCTGGTATTCCAATATAAATGATAATGAATAATGATAGTAAATGACATTCATGGTGCAACTGTCAGGAAGAGCGGTGACGTATACAGACGTGCAGCCAGTCAGAACTCTGCAGTAGTTGATTGTCGCTCAAAGCATTTGCTGGAACATTTGAAAGCCACGTCAAGCTAATATACATCTGCTTATAGACCGCTTTCAACGATTTGTCTCTTATTGCATGGATACTTTTGGACTTTAATCACTGTGCGCAACCAAGGACATTGGGGGGGTGCTCTATTTTGGTTAGCGAAGCTACAAACAGCCATTAAAATGAAGGCACGTTCATAAAGTGGCACTTTCTGTCTTAGCCCCGTCTATAGTAAACTATCATCTTTGACATGACAAATCATCCAGCGCTTGATCTTCATTGAGCTTATCCTTTTGATTGGTCAACTTTGACAGGTCAGCTTGTTGCGACTTCCCCTAATGGGGAACAAAATTCCATACAAACTCGTTCAACAGTGAAAATTGAACTTTACCACGTCTTTATTGTCTTATGAAATCAGTTTTTGTTTTTATTCACAGTTTGTCTCCATTTTAATCGCTAAAATGCGTTTTAGTGATCATAAAGCATATCCAAATAATTGAAAACCCTGTGAACTTTCAAGTCCTATTTTTTTCTTCCTCAAATTCAGATTTATTCCTGTTCAAATAAAACATGAAACATCAATAGAGGTTAGGGCTTCACAACATATCGATTTAGCATCGATATTGCAATATGTGCATCCGCAATAGTCGCATTGCAGGATCTGCAATATCGAACCTGTATTATAATAGACCATATTTCAAGACACTGTGGAGTCATTGTAACGTTTATCCACAAAGTTACCAAAACTTTTAGCAATTATGTGTGCTTTTAGGGCCTGTAAGGATTTCAAATCAGTTAAAAGCATTCAGGCACATTCATATGTCTCTAACTTTAACTGTTTGTGTTTAAATTTACAGGACTAAACATTATTTTACATTTGATTATTATATTTGCATTTCTGATTATTTCAGATTTTATTACAGAAAATTATAAAGCGGTGTGTATTTAATTTGTATCGTATCATTGCTCTAAAGCAGGAGTGCTCAATCCTGTTCCTGGAGATCTATCTTCCTGCACAGTTCCGCTCCAACCCTGGTCAAACACACCGGAACAGCACTGGATAATTACAGACAGGTGTGTTTGATATGGGTTGCACCTGAAATCTGCAGGAAGGTAGATCTCTACAGGGTTGAACACCACTGCTTTACAGTATTTCTCTATGTTTGAGATTGGTTTATCTCATAAAATTATCCCAGTGTATATAAAACTATGAATTCTTTTCAAACAGACCTATCTGTGAAAAAATAAAATATCGCAATGTCAGTTTTTTCTAATATCGTGCAGCCCTAAAATACGTATAATTCCTTTATTGTTAATTCTTCTTTGAGATCTAGTCTACAATAATAGTATCTTTCTGTCACAATTTCTTCAAGCTAAATCAAGCTTTTATTGAGTTTCTCAAAGGGGTAAAACGCTTGTGAAGTTCATATCCTCAAACAGTGAGATGACAGACTCTAAAAACGCCACAAACATGCTTTAGTATATGTGAAAGTGAAACCACAGCATTTATTCGCAAAGACCTGCAGACTTTGTAGGTCAGTAGTCTTTTAGAAGCTTAACATTGAGAGATCCAAGTCTACATCGAGATTTGATCTGGTGTGTACAGTATAGCATTTTCCAAAATTTATTATTCTTCCAAAATTTTCCAAATTCTGCAACTGATTATGTTTTTATGCATGGAATTTTTTCCAGGAAAACTCCTAAAATTTCTGAGCACAAATTAACAATGCCTCGAAGACGATTCTTGTTTTTAATGAGTAGTGAGGAAAATTTGTCAATTGAGTTGTCAATTGTTCCTAGGTAACTATATTCCTCCACAACCTTGACTTGTGTGTCATTTATTGACCACCCTTTGGAGAGCAGGTGTTTTTTTGCCAAAATTAATCAGCATTTCTTTGGTTTTTGACACATTCAGGTCTAGTTCTATTTTATTGCACCATGTGATAAAATCATGCAAGACTGGACCATGTTCCTGGTCTGAGTGTAGGCTGATTTATACTTCTGCGTCATGTATGCGTACAGCGCAGCCTACGCGTGTAAGCATAGCCCTCGCCGTCTGAGTCCCTGACACTCATCTCTCAAAAAAATTTAACTACACGTTGCAGCAATGCATAGCGCGAGCTCTGTGATAGGTCTGCTTTGTAGCGCTGATGAATGTGTGCGGGACCGAGATGAGCCCGATGGAGCGATTATTTTCATGTGTGGAGTCCTGTAAAGGAGCTCAGAATGGTATGTTTTGTTTTGTGTTTACCTCATGGTTAAAATAGTTGCACGTCCGCTGATTACAGCCTCAAAATGAGCGCGTTTGAACCATTTGTACATTAGAAAAGCGTTCAGAAAAAACAAAACACCAGCGAAGAAACTCGACACCGAGGAACATAAACACCTCACTGCCAACTAGCGTTTCGGAAGTCTTATTACAGAGCAACAGAAACAGCGCACAGAAGTATGAATGCAGAGTTATGCACGTTGCGTGCGCCCTGGGTCACACCGATTACTTCACACAGAAGTATAAACCAGGCTTGAGAAAGCAAGGATAAAAGCACAGTATCATCTGCATATTTAACCAGATAACGATTGTCTGGTGTACTCTGATAATCATTTGTATAAAAAAAATAGCATTCTATTCTTGTTTTTCACTAAACAAACTGCATAGTTTTTGTTTTCCTTCGAGATTTTTATACAATTATTCAATTGGTTGGACTTTGATTGTATGGGGGGAAAACCTTTGTGGAAATTGTGGGACCATTCTTGTGTGTTCCACAGAAAAAGCCCATCTGTTTTATAAGAATGCATTAATCACTCGTCTAATATTTGTTCTGCATTGATATTTCAGGAGACAATACCCCCTGGCAGGAGGATTTATTTTCTGACGAGAGGATTGTGAGAAAGACACAAAGGAACACAAACTAAAAACAAGCATCAACACTTGTGGTCTGACTAATCGCTCGGGAGTGAGCCTGGCTTTAGCAATCTGACGTGACTCTTGAGACTTGGCTTTTCTCTGCTCTCCACATCTGCGTGAACGGCGGGTTTGCTCTGCTTGCCTTTCCTCTTTGCTTCAAACCTCAGAGTGAAACTGAATATAACTTCGAAAAAGACGGAGAGAAAAGTTACACACGGAACGTTTCGTGGGAATGGTGTTTGGAAATGTGGCGATCTGTCATTTATGCCGGGCTTAGTTTGAGCAGCCTGCTGGGGTTGCATTGGTTTGAATGAACTACTTGATCCGTGATGAGTTGTACATGCGTAAATATTGCACAGGATTACATACGAGGCATGATGTTTTCTATATATCGAATGATATGAAACTGTTCTTGGGGATAGTTTTTTTTTTTTTGTCGTTTCTTTAGGAACATTTCAAAGGCAGAGTAAAATTTTCCAGATTTAGTAGATTTGTAGTGATTTTATCCATCATCAAGTCGAAAGTCTCTCTCAATACCACATCAAGCTCTTTTTATTCTCTTGATCAAATTGAACTGTATATCATTGACAGATCGGAGTGAAACTTCCACTAGTTAGCTTAATGGATGTGTTCTTGGTTGCAGTGAAGTGTGTGTGTGTTCAAGTGTGTACTCAAATGCAGATGATGGTGACCTGACAGCATTTACTACTCTTGGAGGGCAGGTTGAGATTTTTTTTTGTTGTGTGTCGGATGTAAGAAAACACTTTACGCTCTACACCAGGCCTTCTCTGCACTGAATGAGACCATCTGTGGTGCTGAGATGTGTGTCAGATGCAGTAATGCCATATGGCACATGCTTCGCCTGAGGATAGAGATTAAGAACAGCTGATGGGTAATTATGACGATGTCATCATCATCGTCCCCCCTAGGAATGAACAATGGAATAAGTGCATCGGAAAGGATTTTTTTTCGACCGCCTTCCACAGAGATGCTTGTTCAATATTTTGAGGTTTTTTTTGATGGTGGGTGTGTGTTACTACGTTCATCATTCTATCGTGTCTTGTAACGATCAGTTGGTCTGTTACCTTTTTTGCCTTAGCTCAAGGATTCATATTTTGTGAGCAGTATTGCAATGTATTTTCATTACAGGTCAGTCAAACGGTTCTTTCCCATTGAAAAAAAAAAACCGTGAGAAATGCCAAGAGGTGACGGTCATTTTACAGTAACGTTTTTGTTTAGTGTTGGTGTAGTGCTTTGTGGAGTGGACGGGGGAGGTATTGTCAGAGTATTTTTGACAATCTTTTAAGCTCTGTAAGTTAGCTTTTGCCCTTTAACTTATGTGGTGCCAAACCTCAATATTCATATTTACTATACTAACCTGGGGCTTAGCTAACTCCAAAGGTGTTTTAATATTATTATTATTATTATATATATACATACACAGTATAAATACCATAGAAAGTTCTGTAATTATTCAGTGCTAAGGGTCTTAACCCGCTTCATCCTGTGTGTTGACTAGTTGTCGGACAAATTGGAATGATTTGGGAATGTTCTTTTGGTCAGTAAGATTGGAAAATATTCACATCCCCAAACAGACAATCTGCCTTCATTCTACTAAAGAACAATTGAGTATTTATTTATTAAAGTGTAAATATGTATAACATTTCAAAATGGCTTTGTCCTTTTGTTTGTCCATGATGCTGTTTCTATGCCGAAATCTTTTGTATTGTCCGATAAATTGTTTTTATATGTATTTTTTACAATAAATATGCTTAAGTGTGATGGTGGTTGTCTTTTTTTTTTTTTTTTTTTTTTTTTTTTTTTTTTTTTTAAGGGGCACCTATGATGAAAATCGTCTTTAGGAAGCTGTTTGGACAGAACTGTGTATGTATAGTGTCCACAGTCATATTGGGGTGACAAGGACAATAAGTCTTTTTTTTTTTTTTTTCTTCCTGACTTTAAAATAGGATCCAAATCCCTCCCGTTTTGAGGCCCACTGCAACATGCTGTAGGAGTGTGGTTTCAACCACACACTAAATTGATTGACAGACGCGTATTAACATGTCTCCGTAACGTATAACGTGTATAATCACATCAACAAAACAGGATGTGCGCAAAGCAAGTGAGATTAAAAGATCTGTTCCGCTCTCTGTGATCATCTGCACCTCAGGAATGAGTTTTACAAATTTAAAACTGTGCTTGTTTGTAATGAATTACAGCTATTTTACCGTCTTTATCACCACAGCCTCATGTCAGTACAACAATAAAAGAAAACAATTCAACCCCACTTTGTGAACGTTAAATCAGGTTTATACATTTAACATAACGGATGTCCTTACAGCAGTGGATATTAACATGTATCCTGTCACATTTGCTGTGCAAAACTCTGTGTGCAAGCGTGCTTGTGTGTGTCTGTGTATTACTTTTGTAATGACATTGTGTTGTGACTCATCTTTGCAGAAAGGCTTGAATTAACTCCACATCAAATAATCATAATTCTTACTGTAGTATTTCTCACAAACGTTATATGTAAGATCTGCTTCCTTCATGTCTGTCACTGTGCTGTTTATCTGATGCAGCCGAGTTGGAGATTGAGGCACACTCTAACAGGCACATGGGAACAGTGAATGTAAAGAACTAGCATTAAAGGCACAGCCAACAAAAACAGCTACATTACAATATGTTCAGAGCAGAAAATTGTAATGTTCTGAAAGGTCTTATAAATAATTTGATGGCTGTTTTGAGCTGAAACTTTACAGACATTCTGGACATGCAATATTTTAAAACACAAGACTTATTTTAAATGTTGATAAAGGGTTCAAATAGGTGCCCTTATGTAAATTACTATTAAATAAACTGGCCGTTAAGTAGCCCTAGGTTGACCTTAAATATGTTGTGAAAGTAACAGTGATTGAAGTGCCGTCTTTGTACAGTATAAAATGTGGTAATCTCAAAACAGCCTTTTTAAAGCAATGTCACTGTTTATTTCTTCTGTTGAACATACGAAGACATTCTGACAAATCATTTTCATTTTTGCCGAACTTTCCCAACAATGAACTCCTTTTCACAAAATAGTAAACATTTTGATTTCTGTTAAAAAGGAAGTGCTTGTGCATGAGTTCAGGGTTTTGCCATGAAGTGTCAAAATCTTGTATAACCTATATTTCAACAGCTCTTCTTCCGCTTGCATTTTGTGGTTGCATTGATGAAACTCTGCTCAGACCCACACAAACATGGGTAAAGTCACCTTACTTTCACAATGATCCTAAAGTTGTTTGCAAGGCACTGCTGTCAAATCAAATGCTGCAATATTCCTGCAGACATGCATTGGTGTATTTTCATTAATGGACCATTAAATGAGAAAACTCAAATATATAGTGTTTTAAAATTAGTTTGAAGTTGATAAATAGGCAAATCTGAAATCCTTCAACATGCAGCAGACAGAATTGTTTGGAATTTGCAGTTTTTTTCTCTCAACTTTTGTCAAACTAGAATAATAAAGTAGCTACAAATGTGATCATAGAGATTAAATGGTGTTAAACATAATTTTTATTGTTATTTATATGTTATTATGCATAAAAATGTGCTAATTCAAACTAACATTCCTAAAAAACAACAACAACAAGAATAAAGCTGAAAAAGACTGCACTAAACATTATCATTTAACACTGCAGTGATTCAGAACGGGGCACGGTGGCGTAGTGGGTAGCAAGACTGCCTTACAGCAAGGTCGCTGGTTCAAGCCTCGGCTAGGTCAGTTGGAGTTGTGGAGTTTGCATGTTCTTCCTGTGTTCACGTGGGTTTTCTCTGGGGTCTTTAGACTTGTTTCCCCCACAAGTCCAAAGACATGTGCTATAGGTGAATTAAATAAGCTAAATTGGCTGTAGTGTATGTGTGTAATGGCAAGAGTGTATGGGTGTTTCCCAGTGTTGGGTTGTGGCTGGAAGGGCATCCGCTGCGTAAAACACATGCTGGATAAGTTGGCGGAGTGAATGAATAATTTAGATCGATGACCCTGAGAAAGGAAGATGGCAGAGTTTGGCCACAGCAGATTTTCCACAAAGGGTTTTTTTTTGTAAATGATGTAACCAAAGGATGTGAAACCATTTTCAGTCTATGTGAAGCAAAGGTGAGTGGAGAAACTAAAGCTAGCAGAGCTCTGAGTGCTCGCACCTCAAACAAGACCAACACTGAGCAGAAGGTAAGACTGATTTCAAAGTTTTGTCTAATATATTAATAACTGTAATAATTATTTACATGTCTATTAGATTGCTTAAAGATGAGACCCCACTCAATGTTTGTACCGCACAATTCCCCTTACTGGACTGTCCTGCTTTTGTTAATTGCCGAAGGCTTTTTTATGAAATGAACTCTCTTAAGGACATTTTTAACACAGTGACAGCAGGAACAATTTTAGAATTTTTTATCATGTATTAACACTAAAAATCTTATTTAATTTTTGTATATAACGTTAATTAGAACAAAAGCCCGATTTTAACTAAAACTGGCACTAAATGGCTCAAATGTCCCATTAATCAACTTGCAGTATAGTTAATCACTTGATTATTCAAATTTAAATGAAATGCAATGTAGTCTAAAGCTCCTTTTTTTAGTATGACTGTAATACAGCTTAAACTTAGTAAGTTAGATTTTTTTTTGTTGTAACAATTATAATAATTTATATAACACATGCTCACTAAAATGCCAATCGCTATAGTTTATATATTGCAAAATATTTTAGACTTGGAGGGCCGGTGTCCTAGCTTTAACTTCCTTTAACACACTTGCCTGGAAGTTTTAGTATACCTTGAAAAAGCTTAATTAGCTAGTTCAGGAGTGTTTAATTGGGGTTGGAACTGAAATATGCAGGACACCAGCCCTCCAGGACCGAGTTTGGGCACCCCTGATTAAGACAAATTGTGATAATAAGACAAAAATTTAGACCCAGTATGCTTATTATTTGTCACTTTAAACCTTCATATTTTTCCACTATCTTTCAAACAACAAGCTGTTACCAGTTTGTCAGCAAGTATTTTTTTTGTGTTATTAAATTTAAATGTATAAAAAGACTTAAAATGACTTTAAGTATCATTTAAGATGGTAGTTAACCAAAAATTAAAATGTACTCACAATTCACTCATTTTCTTTCCTCTGCTGAACACAAAGGGAGATACTTTGAAGAAAGCTGAAAACCTGTAATAACTGACTTCCATAGTGTTTGTTATTCCTACTATACGAGTCAATGGTTAAAGGTTGCAAAACATCATAAAAGTTTGGAACAAGTGAAGCAAGGATTAACTATGATAGACTTTTTAGTTTCAGGTGCCCTATCAATTTAACATTTCTTTTTTAATTTCATTTTTTATAACAGTTTTTATGAGAACAAAACAGAACAAAAACATTTATACAATCTATAATACGTTTTTTTTATATAAATGATAAGAAAAATACCATCTGGGAGGAAAAGCCCAGTGTGACCGCAGCTTTAGTTGTGTTTGATCAGGGTTGGAGCTAAACTCTGCAGGAAAGTAGATATCCAGGAACAGGGTTGAGCACCCCTGATATAGAGTAAATAATATACACTGTTAAGTTTTACTTGATCAAAACTCAAAACATTGAAAAGAAAGATTAAAACTGTTTAGAGAGTAAAGAGAAAGAGTAAAAAACTTTTAGAAGTGTCAGCCCTGGCAAAACGAATTCTTTCAAGCTTAAGAGCAGCAACCATTTCAGTCAGGCATTTATGGATAGTAGGTGGTAAAGTGGACTTCCAATCAATCAGGATCACCCTTTTAGCCACCACCACACCAAACATAATAGACATTTGCTGATTATGTGAGCATGTTAATACAGGGTCAGAGCATCCAAACAGGGCTAATTCAATATCTGGACTAATGTTTTCTCCTAAAACATTTAAATAAAACTGAAAAATATTTTTCCAAAACTGAACCAAAAGCATAAGTTCCCTCTGAATTCCTGCATCTGAAGGAAACATTTTATTGAGTTCACTTTAACATTTCATTGTATTTTACGAATAAGCCTTATATTAGGTTATTAAACATATTTTAATCTTAAACTGTTGGCAAACCAGCAAAGCAACAACAAACCACACAAAAGCGAACAAACACTGCACATACAACCATTTCCTGTACACTGACAGCTTCTTTCATTTTCCCAGGGTTGCACAAAACTCAAGTACCTTCTGTCCCAAATGTGGAAAACTCCTGTTGTTTTGACATATATTGAAATTCTGACATTGCTTTCTAACTAAAGCAGATCTCAGGATGGCGGATGTAGAGAACCAAAAACCTGTGGCTGAAAGTGGCCCGATGTATCCCCCACCTCCATATATGCCCCCTTCGTATCCCATCGGCCCCGTTTACCCACAGCCTGTTCCTCCACCAGTCGGCTTTATTGCACCCGTTCTGCCACCAGAAGAAGCCGCAGTCAACAAAACAGAAGAGACGAGCCCAGAAACTGGTGAGTTCAGATTACTCAAAATGTTGTCAAGTTAGCAGAACTTTTATTATTTTGCAAAATGGCACACAGACATGACTCAGTGACACACCATTCACACAGCTCTTGTTAATGTAACTATCAAACAAACTATTTTAACACACTTGAACTATTATACTTATTCGTCTTAAAAGTATAGTTCACCCAAAAACATCTAATTTTGTCATCATGTACTCATCATCCACTTGATTCAAACAAGTTGGAGTTTATTTCCTCTGCTGAACATGAAAAAATAATATATTTTAAAGATCGTTGGCAAATCAAATTTCATGGTACTATATTTTGTTACTTCTATAGTTGTAAATAGTTTTTTTCCAGCATTTTTTAGAATATTGTGTTTTGTGTTCAGCAGAAGAAATTACTTAATGTGAAGAAAATTTTCATTTGTGGGTGAACTTTAAATTAATTTTTTACACACGCTCTACCAAAGTCCCTTTAAAGTCATTTCACTCGGCGGCCATCTTTGAAACACCTCTCGGGCAGTGTGTTCGGGCATTCTGTCTGAAAGGGGAAACATCAAATTCTCTAAAACTGCTTGCCAAGCTTATGACTGAGTTTCATCATATTAGGAGTCACCAACAAAAATTAAACAGCTGTGTCTTTAGTTTTATTCCTAAATGTCTAAATCACACAATATCTGCAGAAACTCACTACTGGTCCGTGCCGCTTCCCCAGAGAATCGTCAGTCTGTAGCGTTCAATGATTGGCTCCTGTACTAGAAGGCGGGCTTTATTCACCATATAGTGATCGATGATTGGCTCATGTACTAGTAGACGGACATTATTCACCATAATGACTGTTACACTTTTTCCCAATCAAAAAGATATGAGTGACACGAGATACGAGTGTGTGTTCTGTAGTTTTTGGCTCTACTCTTCACTACAACGGTAACCCCACAATTTCAACATAGCAGAAATGTTTATATCCCAAAATGTCCAAAATTACAGAATAATTTATGTCTTCCTACATTAATTCTTACGTACTCCCAGGGCCATTTACATTGAAGTTAATATTTAGCCGCACCATATCGGCGTTTCATAACATCTAGTTTTTATGAGGCATGTCGTTAGCCTATGCTCAACCCTCAACCTGGAGGACCAGGACATACACACTTGCACTATGGATAATTTAGCTTACCCAATTCACCTACGCATGTCTTTGGACTGTGGGGGAAACCGGAGCACCCAGAGGAAACCCACATGAACACGGGGAGAACATGCAAACTCTACACAGAAATGCCAACTGACCCAGGGGCTCAAACCAGCTACCTTCTTGCTGTGAGGCTACAGCGCTATCCACTGCACCACCATGCTGCCCTCCTAAATTAATATTGTGCAAAAAAATTTCCTCATACAACATGACAGAAAGCATGCTGGGAACTAGTCAAATTGAAACTTAAAGGGTTAATTTACCCCAAAATTACGTTTTCTCAGCATTTATTAAAAAACTCAAGTGGCTGTAAACTTTTATGAATTTTTGTTCTTCTTCTGAACAAAAAATATATATTTTGAAGAATGTTAAAAAAATAGTAGGAACAAAACAGTAATAGTAGGAACAAACAATGCTATGGAAGGCTGTTGGTTTCCGACATACTACAAAATATCTCTTAGAACAAGTGGAGGCTGAGTAAATGATGACAGAATTTCCTTTTTCAATGTCAACAATCCCATTAATACGATACAATTTTGAGTTCACAAAACTTGTTTCTGTTAAAGGTGCAGTATGTAAGTTTGACACCCAGTGGTTAAATTGGGTATTACATTCCTGAATCAAAACAAATGCAAGTGCAGGTTGCCAGAGCGAGCCTGACAATCGAGCCTAAAGGTTGATTTAAGTCATGTTTTAAATAAAAGCAATGACACACGACAGAAGGAATATTCTTCATATTAAAATGAGTTTTTGTTCTAACTAACACCTCGAATTGATATATTAAAAACGACTTCTATTTCTTGCTCAATTTCAATTTTTGCCTCAGGTACACCTCTTGTGCTCTATTCAGTGATAAAAAGTCTCTCAGTCCAACATGTTTGTATTTTAATACTTTTTTATTAGTGTTTATATTTCTAAGCCAAGTCCTTGCAGCTCTGGCTCCCCATTGTTCAAGATAATATTCAAAGGCTCTCCTTCTTAAGTTGATGTACTGTAAATATGTGGTTCCTCTAAACTAAGCTAAACACATTATGTCAGTTTAATGAGGTAGATGTTTATTTTTTTGTATTTATTTTTGCAGCTACAATTTATAGGTCTAATTTCATTAATTGTAAGATTTTTAGGGGCTTCCTGTATATTTGTGTACTCTCAAATGTACGGTTTACCTTAGTAATGCTACTTTGTACCAACTTATAATTTGTAACACCCTAATCCTAATTTAAACGCTATTCGATGTCATTGGAGTGCACATTCTGTGCCTCTGAATGGCTGTATTAAAATTTCTGTCGTGTTTCGTCTAGTGCAAACAGCCAAATTACTTATCACTGCAAATCTTGTCACATAGTGTGTTATTAGAACATGGGGATACAATATAACCTGCTTAGTGCTTACCTAATGTTAACCTTTGTAATACTTATATTATTTGCTAATTATAAAACCTCATGTGGAACTCTGAATCTGCGTCTTATTTCAGAGCCTGCTTCTGACAACCTGAGGTCACATTTTGGTCACAGACGCATGCTTTGAGAGCCTTTCTGAAATAATAAATGAAATATGCAGTTTTCCATCAAGGCAACCCGGGGTGCTGAAATATAATTAGCTAAAGTGGCACTGGGCGGGATAAAAAAACCACAACAAAGACAGACGTTCCAGCACGTGACTCACATTTTCAAAGCAGAATAACTGACTCCAGCATTGTTTTTCAAATAAACAATAATGTTCACTTAGCATGTTTCTAAAATATCTGCAAACATATTATGGTAATTTATTGCTTAAGAATAGTCAAAAACCTACAGCACCTTTAAGTACAATGAACTTTTTAAATATTTGAGGGACATTTAACTTATTAAAATTTCACTGTTCAGATTTACACTGAGTGCAAAATCCATACAACTTTACCGTGTTAATAAAGACAAAAACTCAAACTAATCAAATTTGAAATATTACAGAAGAAATGCATGAACACAATATTTTTTTTCTTCACACAGCTGTACTTCCACCTGAGGAGCATCAGGTGTTTGTCTCTGCATTTGACGATAATAAAGTCCAGAAAGCGTTTATCAGAAAGGTAAGTGTTTCTCTCATGTAATCTATAAATATTCTGAGTGCTCTGAATTGTGGGTTTCATCCTCACTTGCGATCTCTTTCTGCCTGTGGTCAGGTGTTCAGTGTGGTAACTATTCAGCTACTGGTCACGTTTACTGTAGTCTGCGTCTTCACCTTCTCAAAGACAGTCAAGGAAGCGGTGCAGAAGAACATCTGGATTTACATCAGTTCGTATATTGTGTTTATGGTGGTGGCCCTGTGTCTCTCGGTGTCCTCCACGTTCAGTCGCAAACATCCCTGGAATCTGGTGGGACTGGTGAGTGTTTGGGTTAACATAAGAATATGAATGTTTATGTCATGGTATAATAGGATTGATACTGATAAAATAAATTTTTTTTTTTTTTTTAATTGTGTTTTTGACAAAAGGTACAGTACATTAAAGGTATTCAATTACAAAGGTATTTTCGTTTTTTCTTTTTTTTTTTGAATCATACATAAATTGTGAATTTATGGTTGGAGGAGTACATTAGTCTCAATATGAATTATTAGAGGGTCCCATGTTTTGAAAAATTTTTTGGTTGATCCTCTGAGAAAATATTTAATTTTTTCTGTTTTCAAAAATAGCATTACATCACTAAGCCAAAGTGACAGTTTAGGTGGCATTGGTGATTTCCACTCCATAAGAATTCTTCTTCTAGCTATTAATGTTACAAAGGCAAAGGCGTTTTCTATTTCTTTAGCTAAATGGATGTCCTCATTTGTTACTCCAAAAATAGCCATTTCCGGATTTGGTTGAATTCTTAAATTGAAGGCTGAGTTTAAAATTTCAAATATTGAAGACCAAAATCGTCTCAGTTTGTCACATGACCAGAACATATGGGTCAGGTCTGCCTTGCATGAGTTGTAACGATCGCATGTTTCATCTATATTGGGGTAGATTTTAGCCAGTTTGGTTTTGCTGTAGTGAATACGGTAAAGAATTTTCATCTGAATCAGATTAAGACGCGCACATGATGAAGTCTTGTTTATAATTTTAACTGCTTTATCCTAAGTTTCTTCAGAAATATTAATTCCTAGTTCTTCTATCCGTTCCATTTTAATCTTCTCTAATGTTGTGTTACGGAATGTCATAATAAGGTTATACATTTTGGAAATGAGACCTTTGGGGTGTACAGGGGTCTTTAAAATTAGATTCAGTCCAGATTTAGCAGGCATTTGAGGGAATACAGAGCACTGGGTCTGAACAAAGTGGCGAACCTGGAGGTATCGAAAAAAGTCTGATTTTTGAAGATTAAATTTTTTACTCATGTCATTGAAATTGGCAAAAATATTATCAATGAAAAAATCTCTACATGTAAGTATGCCTGATAAAATAAATTTTGATAAAAATGTGACCCTGCCTGGACCACAACACCAGTTTTTAGACACAATGATAGATCTCCTTTTACACCAAAAATCATTTGAGTATCATGTTTTATAAAGATATGTTGTAAATATCAATTCAAACATTTAATTATTCATTCAAGCGATGTTGATTTTCGGTCATTCTATGGGTCGTTCCCCTCCACACAGTTCTATAAATCACAGTTTCTTTGAGTTTGTGCATGCTCATGTTGATATCAGATTTGACAGTACCAAACCAATGAGTTATTGGTCGGCCTTTCTTCCTCCTTCCACTAACCGTTCCCAGCACGACTGCATTTTTCAGTGAATTGCTTCCTATGACATGGCCAAAATAGGATCATTTCTGCTTGGCAATCTTGGCTTCCAATGTGTTTTTTGGCTTGATGCACCCTAGGACTTCTTTGCTGGTGATTCACACTCATTTCAGCACCACAACTCGAAGGCATAGATTGTTCTTATGTCTGTCTTCTTGAATGTCCAGGTCTCACAGCCATAGGTTGCTATGGGAAAGACAGTCGCATTGACTGACCTTGCTTTAATTGCAGCGCCGATATCCTTATATTTCGAGATGGCATTTATGCTCACCGCTGCATTCCAACCAACGGTTAACAGTCTCTTGATTTCAAGTGTCGTGTCCCCATTCTGGTCAATCTTAGAACCAAGGAATTTAAAGTTTGGTTCTGTCTCAATTACTTCATTGTGGATCTTTATGCTGCATCTTCCATTCTCGGAGGTCGTCATCACCTTCATTTTCTTGACGTTCAGGCTTAACCGCACCTTCTCACTAGTCAATTTTCACTCCGCTTTTTTTGTAAATATACACCTACTTGCTGATAAAATATATTATAATATAAATATAATATATAAAGGTTGTAAATATATCAAAGGTTCATTTCAAGAGTTTCACTCGATAATACACTTCGATAATGTCTGATAATAATAGCAGGTTTGGCATGCTGTCCCGGGAATGAACCCTGAGCTTGGAGATAATTGAGCCCAGGGCTCTCGTATGGTCAATAAGCTTGTAAGGGAGTACGAGATCAGCTAGTTCTCGAGAGCTCCCCTTGCTAAACGAAAAAAGGGGGAAATAGGGTGGATAGGAGGATTCTTCAAAAAAATTAAGATGAGGGAGTGATGTTAGTTGGGCTTTTTATAGTGAGTTTGAAATGATCCGATTGGCTTACTAATGATTACAGACAAGAGACCAGCCGTGACTTTATATCACAATTATATCGCTTGTTTCTTTCGAAATTAGTTTGTAAAACTTCTCTTAAACCTTCGATCAGTAATATGCATAGCTAAGAGCAAGGGTTAACCGTCTCTTGATTTCAGGTGTCGTGTCCCCTTTTCGTTCATTCTTGGAACCAAGGAATATAAAGCCCTGTACTGTCTTGATTTTTTCATTGTGGATCTTTATGCTGCATCTTCCATTCTTAAAGGCCACTTTCGTTTTTTTCATGTTCAGGCATAACCCCACCTTCTTACAATTTTTTTTTGCAATTTCAGGATGAGTCTCTCCAGATATTCTTTGCTTTCGGCCATTGTCTTTGGGATATCTAAAATCGTTGATGTTCCTGCCGTCAATTTTCTCTCCACTTACATTGTAAATATACACCTACTTGCTGATGAAAATATATCAAAGGTTGTAAATATATCAAAGGTTAAAGCTTTGATCAGTAATATGCATTGCTAAGAGCTTAATTTGGAAGACTTTAAGGGTGATTTTTACAAGTTAATTTCAAATAGATGTGTCTCGGTCAAAACACTATTTAAAACAATGTTACTTATGCAAAGTGCTGTGCAGATAATCTTTACTCCTCTGACCTCAAAAGGGTGCTCAAGTGACAGGTGCTAGAGACCATGGTCTTTACCCTCCTTGTTAGAGCAACAGACTCCCATACAAAGAATCACCAGTTCGATCCCAGCTCAGATGGGTGCTCAGATGGGTTAGGTGCAGTAGGACTGGTGGGTTAAAATTATTCATAATCAACAACAAGTCAATAGTTTACTATTTGACCATTAAACTCCAAAACTGGCTGTGGCTTTGCACTTTTTACCCTTAAACCTTTGCACAATAAACTAGGTTGGTTTCTCCTCTTGAGTCAGCCATTGCATTTTGTAACTTTGTTATTTTCGTTACTTAATGCAATGGACTGTTACAGTCTGTACTTCCTCTGGAGAAAGTACAGTGGCCTATAATTGTACATTGAACCACTTGTACAGTCCACCAGTCATTGCTTTAAGAGGTTTGTTTTGTTATAACTGCAGACTGTGCATTTTCTTTATCATTGTACTCTCGCCTACCAATTGAACAGGAAATAATTGAACAAAAAAGTGACTAGAGTATAAAAGATATAAAAGCAGCATAGTGTTCCGCTTAAGTCTGACGCCCATCCGTTTCTAATTCTAAATGAACAGATGCCAAAACAAACATCAAATAGTGCTAACAATATATTTAAATACAACAGAGTAGTAGTAATTGGTCATTATCATTATGATAAATAGTTGCCAATGTAATCTGGATTACTGATTGTAGATCATGTGATTACTTTTGGATTACCTTTGACCCAAACCTGCGTATGACATGGATTTTATTGTAAAAATTCTTAATAATAAAAAAAACATAAAAGTAATAATAAAACTTCTATGTTGTTACATGCTGAAATTTGTCATGTAATTTTTATTGAATTGTTACTTAAAAATAGTAAATATATTGATAGAGTCAAGTTGTCATATACACTGCAAAAAATACTGGGTTCCCCATAATTTATTCATGTTGTTCCAACTCAAATCGATTAGGTGTGCAATCATTTTTACAAATTTAAATTGATTGAACATAAAACAATTAAGTTGTCCCTAAAAACCCACAATAATTGTGTTGTTTCAACTGATTTTAAATAATTAGCTTGAACAACCTGCAAAAGTCATTTGTGAGAGTATATAAAATTTTATGAAAATGTTTTGTGGTTTCATCTGGTTTTACTTTTGTCCTTAATGTTTTATTTTACTGCTCTTATGAAACATAACCTTGGTTTAATTGTTATTATATTTTAATAAGGGCGAATTGATTTTCTTACTGTTTTACCACCAGCGTTGGTTAATATAGCAAAACAATGATTATATTTGCTTACAATGGCTTAATTAAGATTACAGTGTTTTTTATTTGTAGTAAAACTCTGGCTAATGTTTGTAAGGGTGCAACTTCTCAGTTAGCTTAGCAATCTAAATGTAATGCAATATGCTTTAATGATACTCTTGTTTCATGTGAATGCCCTTGTTATTGTCTACAGTCAATGGTCACGCTGAGTTTATCCTACATGGTGGGAACTGTAGCCTCATATCACAACACAACTGCTGTGATCATCGCTTTAGGGTCAACTCTGGTCATCTCTTTCACCATCATCATCTTCTCTGCCCAGGTTTGTTTAATATCCCACGTATCACAAATCTAACAAACAAACTAAAAAAGATGAAAATAAAAGTGAAATCAAAATGTACAATGCTTATTTGCTGGCACACATTGTTATTCTTAAGATGAACTAGTAATCCAATTAAGTCAATCCACGGAAAGAAATCTGTTTTGGTAATATTCAATCAAATTCTGACCATTTGCTTCTGCATTTGGAGGGATGCAAGTCCTTTTGCTGACGACAGTTTTTAACCACGCCCCTCTTACCATACAAGGAAATTATTTGCAAAAACAAAGCCCCGCCCACTACTTAATATTCCAATTTAATTGAAAGAACATCAGCATTTTGAAAAAGCCTCAGCAACTTTCAGTTCACACAGATTTTAGGGAATAAATCTCTTCTAAAACACATTAAAGAAGTTTTCATAGCTTGCATAATACGCTTGCTCATCTTTTAGGTCATTTCATTCTGATTTGTTGTGATTTGTTTTCAGACTTGTTTGGACTTCACTATTTGTAATGGCGTTCTGCTCATACTGTCCGTCGACTTGCTCATGTTTGGATTCTTCAGCATCTTTTTCTACTCCTCTGTTCTGCAGATTGTCTACGGATGTCTGGGAGCACTTCTTTACGCTTTGGTAAAATATTATAAATGTTTACAAAAATAATGATCACAATCCTAAACTAAGCACAAAATTTTGCAGGATAGTTCACTCATTAAGAAACATTTGCAGGTTATTTACTCACCCCCAGGGCATCTAACATGTCTGTGAAGTTTCTCCTTCAACAGAATGTTAAAGATGTTTTTTTTTTTAAAGAAAGAAAAAAGATTTGATTTATGTTATTGAAGTCTACCGGTACTTTTCACACTATGTGTAACTCTAACTCCAAATAATGAGACGTTTTAAACCTGCAATTTGGAAGTGATTTAACACCTAATTTTCCCCAGGGTTATGAAACTCTGCTCCAGAGCAGGCTTAGCACTGCATTTGTTGTGTTGACCCAGATTTTCAATGTGAAATGAAAAAGTGTTTACTTGTTGCTGCTGGACGCTTGACAACAAAGACACCCAATAAGAAATTTAGCAGCGAGGTTTACATCACTTTAAGAAACATTTATGGTGTAAACAACAATAAGATGTAAAATGATGTAAAAACTTCAAAATGAAGAAACTAAAAGATGATTCAGACGTCAAAAGTAGACGTCCAATCAGTGATGAATAAGAGTGCTTACCCAGGTTTTAGAGTATGTACAGTGTAAAACGGGTGCTCAACCCTGCTCCTGGAGATCTTCCTTTCTGCTGAGTTCAGCTCCAACCCTGATCACACCTGAACTAATTATTTAGGACCTGAACAGCACTGGATAATTACAGGCAGGTGTGTTTGATAAGGGTTGCAACTGAAATCTGCAGGACGGTAGATCTCCAGGAAACCTACCTGGTCACCCCTGGTGTAAAACATCTGCTAATGGATACACCAAATCAAGGGAATACTTAACCAGTAAGCGAGGTAAGCAGCCGCTTATGGCTCAGGGGAATTAGGGGCCCCCGACCAATGCCAAGATACCTATATTAATCATATAACTTTTTAAACACATGTTGTCAAATCTGTCAATAACTGTTAAGATTTACATGTTAATACTTCTTTTCTAAACCGAGGGCCCCCATTGAATAGTGGACTGTTCCATCCATACTGCACATGTGCGAGCGCTTTAATCAAAAATGAAAATCTAATCACAAAAATGGCTAATTAACTAAATACATCAGGGTGTACAAACTCGGTACTGAAGGGCCGGTGTCCTGCAAGTTTAGTTCCAACCCCAATCAGACACACCTGAACTAGCTCATCAAGCTCTTACTAGGCTTTCTAGAAACACCTGTGCAGGTGTGTAGAGGCAAGTTGGAACTAAAATCTGCAGGACACCGGCCCTCCAGGACCGAGTTTAGACACTTCTGCTTTGTAAATTTGTTTTATTTATTTGTGAATATATTGCTTTTAATTTTACATTAGGAAGATAATGGTTCCTTTAAATATTAAAATAAAAAAAATTTACTTGTATATTTTGGGTTTAAGGAGTTATTACAACCGAACAGACACTTCCTCCTAGCCATTTCTGTTTGTTGTCATAGCTGACGGTTGGAGGGGCATAGTGAAGTATGTTATCCACGCTTAATACTACCCAGACAATCATATTCAAACTTCATTAGAACTGAATATATTGTCAAGACCCATCTGTATTAATTTACCTATCTGTATCTAATTCACTTTGTGTCTTTCTGACTCTCAAAGCAGTTGTAGCCACTGACTTGCATTTTATGAATCACAAAAGCCTATGATTACATCTAAAAATCTTTAAAGTTCTACAACAAAATAATTCTCCTACTTCCTGGATTGTTTGTAGATTTTCAATTTGGCTGACCGAGCCCTAAATTCTTATCAGTGTTTATTTTGCTTATCAGTGGTTTTCTTTCTTTCTCCTGCAGTTTCTAGCAGTGGACTGTCAGCTGGTGATGGGCAGGCAAAAATACAGCCTCGATCCTGAAGAATACATTTTCGCCGCTCTAATTATCTATCTGGACATCATTATGATATTCCTCTACATACTTATGATCCTGGGCGGAGGCTCCAAAAATTAAACCCACACATACCCACACCCACACACAAGTCGAGATGCTCTCCAAATCTACAGGTGAGGTGACCAGCTGCATTAAACCGTCTGACCTCAGGTTTCATCATTTCATTCATCTGCACTGCTCCCTCTATTGGCTCAATGTCTCTGCTGCTTTGTGTTTGTATTGGTAAACATGCACTTACGTTATCCATATATAATCACGTCGTCTACTCTTTTCTAGTTTAGTCTCAATAATGTTTTGTAAGTCAGTTAAATGCCTTAATATTTACGGTATTTTGCATCCATTAAATTAAAAACACCCCATAATGTGAATCATAAAAAGCTTTAATTTGTGACTATGCTCTTTTTTTGAATGCTTTAATGATATTAATAAAGCTTTTATATATATTTTTGTGTACCATGCATATTTGTGATCAAATCTATTGTATTTGAATATATTATTTTATTATATAATATATATTAAACTTTTTCCAGTACTGGGTTGCAGCTGGAAGGACATCCGCTGTGTAAAACATACAGTATGCTAGATAAGTTGGCAGTTCATTCCACTGTGGTGACCCCTGGTTAATAAAGACACTAAGCCAAAGGAAAATAAATGAATGAATCATATATTAAATCATATAAATACATTGTAATACATAAGTTTGATTACTATTTGTAATAATAATAATAATAATAATAATAATAATAATAATAAGCTATACCACTTATGATGTGATACTATACAAATATGAATACACTATATGAATAAATCGTAAATATCCACCCTCTACCTGTTACAAACATGTTTTAAATTATTATTTTTTTGTTTTTGTTCATTTTGATAGAATGATATTTTGAAGAATGTTAGAAACCATCGACATCCGTAGTATTTTTTCCTACTATGGGTGCCAATGGACTCTGGTTTTGAACATTCTTCAAAATATCTATTTCAGTATGTATTTGTGTGTTCAATAGAAAACAAAACCACTTAAGGGTGAGCACATTTCCATGTAAACTACACCTTTTAATGTGAAAATTCAGACTCTGCCTCACCACAGTGTGAAGTAGACTAAAGAAGTATGTGGGCTTGGTAATAAAATTCAGTGTGACAGAGGGTGTAGCCACCTTCATGTCATTCAAAATCTGAGTGCTTTCATTTTTTTCCACTGAGCACAAAAGAAACACTCTAAAGAATCTCCTCGCAGCTGTCTTCCGAACAATGACAGTTTACAGTTCATCACGGCCATGTGTGTCAAGTTCCCAATAGCACAATAAAGGGGGTGACAAGAAGCCTATCAGCGTTTAACTGCTTAAATTTCACTATGTTCTACACACAAAGCTATCATCAGAAGTCTTGGAATTTAGCGAGAAATTTAGATGTACTCCCTGCTGAAAGATGCTGTAACTAACTATTCTGGTAACAAACAAGCCTATTTACACTCACTTGTCACATGGTGTGTCACATGTAGACACACATATTAAAGTGAGCACCAGAATAGTGAACAAGTGTGAATTAAGTGACTTTAAAGAGCATGATTATTGTGCCAGATGAGCTAGTCTGTGTTTTATTTTTAGATTTTCATGTACATCATCTCTAGGGTTTACAGAGATAACTGGTCCAATGAAGAATAAATATCCAGTGAGTCACATGGGTCAATAAAGCCTTGTTGATGCCAGAGAAGAATTTTTAAACGGTGTCCAACTGATACAAAGACAACAGTAACTCAAATGAGCACTGCTTACAGCAGAGGATTGCAGAAGAGCAACTCTGCATCATGACAAGTTAAAGCTTGAAGCAGATGAGCTACAGCAGCAGAAGAAGAAAACACCAAAGACGATCCTGTCAGCTGATAACAACAAACTGAGGCTACATTTCACACAGGTCACTAAAATTTTACAATGGAGAATTGGAGAAAACATTGCGTGGTGTTTTGATTTCTACTGCAAATATTTGGATAGTAGCATCAAGATTTGGAAAAAGCAAAAGTTCAGGCTGCTGCTGGTGGTGTAATGGCATGGTGTTTATTTTCATGATGCACTTGGGACCCCTTTTAACCATCTGAACCATGATGAAATGCCGCAACCAAATTGAATATTTTAGCAGAGTTGGAAGCTTCAAATAGATTTAAAACATTAAGAGTTATTGCCATATGTGAGATAAGTTGATTGAAGTCCAAACACTGACCATGAGCACTTTATATTCATTCTTTAACTTTAATTCTTTTCATGTTCACCAAAATGATTATCCCTAAAAGTAGTGTGTATATTTTTTAAAGTTGCTGTTCAACCAGTTTTTCAAGCCCAACCTGGATTTATGTGCAGTTAAACACTCCTGCCTCAACCAATTCCCTGAGTGAAAAATTGAATTTGCATGGCCAATAATGAACAGAAAAACAAGGCACTGTTGTGCTTTCAATATTATTACAATTGTTTGAGCTTGAATATCACTTTTCGTGAATTTAACAGTCATTATAAGAGCAAATGGATAATTTATCTCAGATTTCTAAATGAAAAGAAACAAAAAGCAGCCAGTCTTTGAAGTGGTCAATTTGTAACCAAAGCTCTTGTACATTTTCCTAGCATGTTTGCCTTAGTTAACATGTACAGCCTGGTGATTACCTGTGACTTCAGTTACTGCCAGTTGATGAGTGAGAAAAGGAATAAAATGGTGCTAAAAATAGCCTAACCATAGCAATAAAAGAACATCATATGGTATAGAAAACTAACATCTTGATACATAGAAACTAAAAAGCGACAAAGTCCTTGATATTCCATGCCTTGGACCAGTTAATATATGAACTTGAAGTCAGATTTATTAGTTCCGCTTTGAATTTTTTTTTCTTTTCTTAAATATTTCCCAAACGATGTTTAACAGAGCAAGGAAATTTTCACAGTAAGTTTGATAACATTTTTTCTGGAGAAAGTCTTATTTGTTTTATTTCAGCTAGAATAAAATCAGTTTTACATTTTTTAAAAACATTAAAGTCAAAATTATTAGCCCTTTTAAGCTATATTTTTTCCAATAGTATACAAATAGAACAAACCATCATTATACAATAACTTGCCTAATTACCCTAATCTGCCTAGTTACGCTAATTAACCTAGTTAAGCCTTTGAATGTCAGTTTAAGTGTCTTTATGTGCTGTCATCATGGCAAAGATAAAATAAATCAATTATAAATGAGATATTATGAATATTATGAACATTTATGAACATATAAAATATTATGTATACAAATGTGTTGAAAATCTCTGCGTTAAACAGAAATTGGGGGGAAAAACAGGGGGGCTAATAATTCCGACTTCAACTGTATGTAAAAATCCCTGACTCTCAATGTTTGGAAAAACACTTTTGAAATTCAATATTGCAGAAATTCCATGATCTGTGGAAATCCTGGTCCACTCTTTATGATTGCATTTAAAAATGATGAAAATGATAATCTGTGGAGCTCTTTTTGAGCCTTTTCCAATTATTAAAAATGAGGAAAAAGAAATGGTAATATATATAAACCAAGACCACCCAGCATAAAAAAGAAAGCCAGACCCCTTCTTTTCCTTCTTGTTTCTGTTGTACATCTGCTGTGTTATTGCGTTGCATTTAAAGAAAACCCTGTCTGTGTATTCTGTTGTTGCCCATATCAGTGTTCATGTCATCCGTCCGCCATTCATATCATACCATTTCACTTCTTAATTTAATTCATTTACAAGGCTCAGGCGAAGCAGACCGGTAAGAAGATCATGTGACACACATTTTGCAACATGTAGGACTACTCTTGTTTTAAATACATTAGGTTAGGGGCGCCACCCCTTGTACTTTTGGATAGATTAAGTAAGATAGTTAGGATACTCAGTAGGCTTCTTTGTGTGTTAATTTATTTTGTTTTCATTTTATTTAGTTAGTTCGATGTTTATGGAGAGTTAGACATTGTGTGAGTTTTGTTCTTTTCTTTATTACCGCCCATGTCCTTTTCTGCCAGCTCTCTTGTTTTTCTCCGTCTTTGTGTTTTTCCCATTGTTGTACATATTTGAAAAAGTATATATTTTTTATTAGCTTTTTTTTTTTTTTTTGATTGATTCATTGTTTTTGTTCCCTCTGTGAATTGTAAATAAAAGTCAGTTTTTGGTATATCGGGTTTTGGTTGACTTTTGCACTTCATTCACTGTGTATATAAATGTCTTTTTAATTGTACTTTAAATGTCAAACCCCATTCACCTAAACCAGGGGTGGCCAACTCTGTTCCTGGAGAGCCACCTTCCTGCAGATTTCAGTTTCAACCCATATCAAACACACCTGCCTGTAATTGTTGCATGGTGTTCAGGTCCTAATTAATAGTTTCAGGTGTGTTTGATATGGGTAGCAACTGAAATCTGCAGGAAGGTGGCTCTCCAGGAACAGGGTTGGCCACCCCTGACCTAAACTAACATCAGGGGTTTGTAACAATTATATAATAACCATTTACACAGACAAAGGGTGGTCCAATACTTCTGTATAAAACCTGTTAAAACACACCAAAGGTGGATTTAATCGGCATGTGCATTTCATAAATAACACTTAATAAAGCGTTCTAGTAAATAATGAATTAAGAATCATCTTTCTCTTCTTATGTTTACGCTATTTTGTATTAATTTTGATTTATTGTTACTTATTCATAATATTAAATACTTAAAATCACAGTATATCGGTAGAAATATCATTTTATTTTGATTAATTCATTCATCACTTAGAAAATGTCCCATATTAGTCATATTCAGGTTCCTTTGAAAGTTAAAACAGACATTAATGTTACAATATGCACATTTTTCCTGGAGGGAAACACTACATAGCTACATGTTTTTTCCTTCACCTCAAACTGTTCAGACTGTCTGTGTGCAAAATGTGAAGCTCACCAAAGTGATGAGAAGTTAAACTGAACTCTAAGGAGGTACTTCATCTGAATCTGAGCAGGGTTATAAACAATGTACTCATTATAAAGAAGAGAGTATCCTCCTTTCTGGCCAACACCGGTCTTCACAGAGGGTCCCAAGGGCACAGTCACACCATTCCTGAAAGACAGCAGGAGAAAACGTCAGTACAGCACTAAGGATGCAATTGTGTAAAATCTCAAGTTAAAAACCGAAAAGAGACTCACAATGAAACTGATTTTTTGGGGTCTGGTGCAGTTTGACCCAGACCTTTTGTGCTATGCTTCCCAGAAGGCAGTTGGTCGGCATTGTAATCTGCGTCCAAAAGTTCATTACTATCTCCAAGGGCAACCTGTGGTAAGAAAAGTAGACAAAATGACACTTCAGCAGTCACGTTATTTTAAAATGGCAGTTAGAGATGGGGTGTTATTCACACTTTTAGCTATTTTAGTTTGTTTGCTCT